GGGGCGGCTCCGCCGCCGCCGCCACTCCCACGGAGATCTGGTTCGACGTCCAGAACGGCAAACTTGCCGTCTCGTAGCCGCAGCGAGCGCTCCCAGTCCGTTATGGCCACATTGAAGTCAGGCGGAATCAACAACGACCCTTTGGGCTCCAAACGGCACGAGTATGTTTGGTCCAGGCAAAAGGAGATAAGCTCCAGGGGAGGAATGGAGCACACGTGGGGCTTATGGTCCATGGAAGCTTCCAGAAGACCGGCGTAGCTGCGGTAGTGGAACACAGAGGATGGACACAGGGTGGGGGCGGATTGCGGTGTGTAGGTGGGTGGGGGTGAGGGAGGCGGGCAGAACGGACAGGATGGCCGGGATGGCCCCCCAGCTGCTGTAAAGGAAGGTAAACGCCTTTAAAACAATCGTGTCATTAAACAAATGGTGTACACTCTGTGCGCGTTCTGTTTACCGTTGGGCCTCCTCTTCACATTCGAACGCGATGATCGTCTCTTGCGGTGTGCCGTCGGTGTTGAAGGCGCGAAGCGAGTAGATGCCCTCCGTCTCGCGCTCGCCTACTCCGAACAAAATCACGTAGACCTGGCGAAGCCGGCTCCAAGTGCGAGGACCAGCACGGAATAAATCCATGCCGGGTTGAGAGGTCCATGTCCAAAGCGGACGCGGCGGGTAAAGCAGCGGCTCGTTGTCATCGTTCGTCGGCAAATTGGCCGGGCTGGGAACGTAAGAATCCGGTGAAAAATCCCAGGTTTGTTCCCGTTGAATTGGTCTCACGGAAGAGTCGTTGGAAGCTGAGGATGATGGTGGCAAGTGCGCGTTGAACGCGGCATCCGGTGCTCCTCGCGAGCTGCTGTCATGGCCGGCACGCGCTTGCGGTTGCTGGGGTGGTTGAGACTGCGATTTTGAATCTCCATTGCCTACTGGTTGTCGCTGTGAGAGGGATAGGATTGCAGAGGCGGATGTTGAGTTGGCAAACCGTTGGCACATAAAAAGTCGTTACAAAAACAACGCACCTCCTTGGGGGAGTTTGCGTCGCCGGCGCTGCCGTCGCCGTTATGCGCACTGCAAGGCATAAGGAATGATGTTCGCGAACGAGAGTGCTGAAGGCTAGAATGACCTGCGGCCGACGAACAGTAAAGTGAGAGACGATGCCTGACGTGGCTGAGTGCTGGCGCCACCGCACCTGCCGGCGCTCTTCGCGAAAAGCTGTTATTGCGAGACGCGCCTCTTGAATGCGCTGCAGAGGAAAAGGAGCGGTTAGCTCTGTGACAGCGGCCGCACGCCTACAACTGCAGCTGTTGGTTAGTGCGTAGTGCCTTACCGCAGGATGATGGGACAAACTCCGAAGAGCTTTGCCTAGCGTAGCCATTCTGGGCTGCACCTAGCTGGCGCTGGAACATCAGCATTCGTGACCCTGCGGTTCTGCTTACAAAGCTAGAGCTGGCCCGGAGCTCTATTACTTCGCCGACTGGGCCCCGCTTATGCAGAAATAAATTGGGAACGAGAAATAATGAAAACTTGTGCGGTATGGGACTTGATAGCCCAAAACCACGCAGTCATGAACAGAGTGTAACTGTTACTTGATAATGTTACGCCAATCAAACCATGTTTACATTGTGCGACTCAAAAATAAGTGGCTCGCCCGAGGCATTGTCTGACCTTCCTGCTGACCAAGCACTTCCCCAGCTTCGGAGCTGTATACGACAAATGGAGTTCGTTGATCCGACCGCGGTTTCAAACCAATGCGTACTGAAAGTTTCGAGTGCACAAGAGTGTAATGTAGGTTGATATCCAGTCTTGTGACAACCTTACTTCACTTCATACCACGGCCTAGGGAACCGCTTGACAGCATTTCCCTTGCTAGCAAGCTCTCACTACCCGTCGCCCAAGGACAGAGCACACTTTCACATTTTAACATAGTTAATCAAGCACAAGATAGGCTGCGGCGGCGCCACGGCTTGCTCGCATCTGCCGACTGGGCCGAATGCGCTCGCTTGCAGCGCTTCAGGCACCCCCAGATGCACTAAGGACTTGCCCCTGTGCCCGCGGCACCAGGCGAATCATCCCCCATCGATTCAGATTATCAAAGTCAAAGGCAAACAGTCCCGTGAGTCCGGCGGGCTCCAGGGCCTCGGTGGTTTAATGGACATCCGGCAAGCAACACCCGCACAAGGCCCCAGCAGTGTGCGGAAAATGCGTTGGCTGTGCTCAAGTAAATCGAGATAACCTTGACGATACTACCTGCAAATTAGATAATTTCGCTGGACCGGCAGGGCCACTGGGGCAGACCATGTAGTAACCGCAAAGACCATTGCTCGCATGAAGCAGGAGCCGCCGCCAACCGCTGACGAGCATATAGTAACATATAGTAGCTTTCCTCCTTAACCTCGTACCCGTCTTACCGCCCCCCTCCTACATCCCCCAGCACATGACAATCCACTGTCCGCTACCTCTTTGTTTTCCGGACACAGCGTCGTACGCGGGGCTCTGCCAGACGATCTAATCCATATCCCCCAGCCCCCAGTGCTCCTCGACCCCCGGATCCCCCCGGTTGTCATTTCCCCCCCCCCCTCTTCAGACTCTATGGCCCCCGCTCGCCCTCCCAATGTCTCAAACGTCCTCTTGTCCTCCTTGGTACAGGCCAGCGATATGGCGCGAGTGCAACAGAATTTCAACTCGGCGGGTGTGGGCCTCTTTTTCAGTCTGTTTGCGGTGAGAGATCCGGAGTGTATGTGTGTGTATGTGTGTATGTATGTGTGTATGTGTATGTGTGTGTATGTATGTGTGTGTATGTATGTGTATGCATGTGTGTGCATGTGTGTGTATGTATGTGTGTATGTGTATGTGTGTGTATGTATGTGTGTGTATGTATGTGTATGTATGTGTGTGCATGTGTGTGTATGTGTGTATGTATGTGTGTATGTGTGTGTATGTGTGTGTATGTGTGTATGTATGTGTGTGACGGCTGGGGAGGGAATGTTGGGAACCACTTTCGTTTTGGAAGGAAGGAAGGAAGGAAGGAGGGCAAGAGGAAAATGCAGGCCGGGCCGCGTCTTTGCTCGGCAGAGCGGGTTGCGCCTGGGCAGGGAGGAGCTGCGGGTGATGTACGGATAGCTGGTGATGTGAGAGGGGTGTTTTCAAAAGGTCGATGTGGCATCATCGGAACAATGCGGTGACGGCGGGTAAGGGAACGGGGCGGATAGGAGACGATAGACGGTAGACAGCACTTTAATAGGACGGACAAACGGACGAACGGACGAATGAATGAATGAATGAACAAACGAATAAATTCGGAGTGCTCCACCGGTACTTCACCGTTTCTGCCGTTGCGCCGCCATCAGAGGGGGGTTGATGCGGTTTTAAGCCCGGGTGTGGGGGGGAGGAGACGTTGTTAGGGTTTGGGAAACGTGGCACGTTTTTTATCCCGTAGGATAAAAAAGGGAGAGAGAATAGAGTGCATGTCACCTCCATGTGTTTTTCGCGCGGTACTTACATTTACTTGTCGGAGAGACGCAAACACACACACAAACACAAACACACATCGTTCTTCTCTGTACGGCACGCAGTCTTGGTCTTCGGTACGGTGTGTTAAATATAACCCCGTCGTACGGCATTTCAGGGGAGCCAAAGCCTGGCGCTACCCCACGTGGCAGTGCCCGACATTCGTCACGTGGATTGGGCGAAACTGCGATCAGCCGGTTTCCGGGGCCTAGTTTTCGACAAGGTAACGCCGTACAACAGTTGAAATGCCGTACATGGCACGTACCTTGACTGCCTACATCTTCATTTGCCCGGCATCGCCTTTCTCTTTGCTATTTCCTAAAACTTCTTCCCTATTGCGGCGATGCTTGCGGCACATGTCCTTTTTTCAATCTGTTCCTTCTTATACTCCTTATGTATCCCTGTACATATCGCCTACTTTACCTTTTTCTACATCTGCATCACCGGCCGACCGAAGAGACGTTTCCTTTCTTAACCCCCCTCCCCTTTCCCCCCCTTTCCGTCCGTCCGTCTTCAATTCCTCACATTCATTGGCGACGATGCTTCTACACAAACAAACAAACATACATACATAAATACATACACGCACACGCAGGACAACACACTCTCGAGGCCTTTCGCGCTCGAAGTTGAGCCCTCACTCCGAGGCGCCCTCGACCGCTGCTTGACCGCATTTGAGGGTCGCGCAGTGTTGTACAGCAACAGCGCCGGGCTAAAACAGTACGATCCCGACGGTGGGTGCAAATTTTAAATTATTTGCTTTTTTTTCAGAAATTTATTTTTTAGGAAATCTTCACTGTATACAGTAAAAAATTTTAAACGTAAATGTTCACCGGCCGTCGCACGCGCGTGGTTTCCTGATGGACCATCTTCACAGCTGAGCACAAAGATTTAAAAACTTTCTTAGTCTTCTGGTTTTTCTGATTCTTTTTGGTCCTTCTTTGTTCTTAGGATTTGTTCTTAGGATTCTTATTTGTTTTTCTGGTCCTTCTTCTGGCACTACAGGAGCGGAAGCTCAGCAGCTGGAGGCCGCGTTGGGCATTCCCGTGCTTCGTCACACGGAGAAAAAGCCTGGTGGCGGCTGCGCCGAGCTTGAGAGCCACTTTGGCTGCCCCGCGGCTGACCTCATCATGGTGGGGGACAGGTAAGGTACGGCAGAGTACGGTGGATCCTGGAACCCGAATTTTGTTGTGCTCTGACTCTGAAAATCCTTGATCCTGAAAAATAAATTGGATTCTGGGAAATCACCGGGTCTCGGTAACTTGATAGAATATGATATGATCAGCAGCGCGCTCAGGACAGAAGCTGCCGGGCGTCGCGTACGCCTGTGAGCTCTCTGTTGCCGCGGTCTCCCGGCCCCCTCGCGCCCCAGGTACCTGACCGATGTGGCTTTCGGCAACCGCCACGGCATGTTGACGATACATGTACAGCCGCTAACGTCCCGAGGCGAGCCACTCGGGGTCCTGATGGTGAGGTGCTGAGGGAGATAGGAATGATAAGGTGTCTTGCCTGGCCCCGGTGTGTGTGCGGAATAAAAAATATGTAGGGGAGTCAAAGGGGAGTCAAAGACGTGAAGGTCATAGTCAGGGGGGAACGCCATAGTGAGGTTCGGGGGTAGGGTGGAGTGTACGGGAAAGGCGACGAGCACCTAAGGGTGGCCGGGCCCTGAGGGGAGCCGCGAGCTGGGCAAGCACTTGGTCGTGGTCGTGGCTGTGGTCGTGGATGCCGTCAAATGGTTATCTCTGGTCGCTTTATCTCTCCTGGACGAGCAGCCTCCTGGACGAGCAGCCTCCTGGACGAGCAGCCTCCTGGACGAGCAGCCTCCTGGACGAGCAGCCTCCTGGATGAGCAGCCGCCGCTGCTGCCATCGCCACACCGCTGCTCTCTTCGGGTAATCGCCACTGCCAGCCTGGTCACCGACAACCACCGCCATAATGCCACCAGCCTCGCCTAACGTCACGATCACCACCACCACCATTACCACCTCCCCCCAAGCGGCGATGAGCTCATTCCCGGGCGTCCTGGGCAGGTCAGGGTCGGGGTCGCTTGGAAAAACACAGCTGAACAGCTGAACCCGTCAGCATGGCGCGGTCCTGAATTTTGTGGAACAATCATTATTTTGATCGAAGGGCAATTGGGCAAACATGCGAGCTGTTAGAATATTCGCGGTTTTAGTTGGGGGCATCTACGTTGCAGCGGTATTGCAGAGAGTGGTGTTCCAGCAACTGCAGCTGCTGCAGAAGCATCGGGAGCGGTATCGGGAACGCTGAAAAGTTATTATTATTATTATTATTATTATTATTATTATTATTATTACTATTATGTCCTAGAGCTCCTCAAATTGCTGCCGTTGGTGACTTCTGTCACCTGACGTGCCCACATCTTTTTTTTGACAGCGTGTTAGGCGGGGAGCTATCAAATGTGCCATGCACCGGGCAGTATGTCTCATGGTATGGACGCCGTAAGCCTTTTGCTGTCGTAAAAAAGGCACCCGTGTGCCGATGTGCATGTGTACATACATATGTATGTATGTATGTGCGTTCCTTCAGGCCCGTCGAGTGGAGGAGTTTTGGGTTGCTCGCTGGACCGCTGCCGGCGTCCACCCCCCCGCGCACACGCGGGCGCCGTACAAGTCGCTTCAAGGGTTCATCACGGAGCCGTCACCGCCACCGCCGTCGCCGCCGCCGCTGCGGCCGGAGTCAGGCCCGCCGCCGCCGTCAGCGGCGGCAGTCACCGGGTCATCGGCGGCGGTGGCCGCGGCGGCGGCTGTCTTACCACAGGCCACGCCGGCGGCTCAAAAGTAGAAAACGAGCAAATGCACCTACCTGCTAGGGTGTTGTTACGGTTATCGGTTATCGCTATCTGATCCCTGAGGGCTCACGATCTCTTCCGGCGGCACTTCGTGGCGGGAAAATGGCGTGCCGGCTCGCAGGAGCTGACAGGGGCCCCTATCGACCCGCCTAGACAACCAGACGCCGTGGGATCTCATCAAAAAAGGAAAGAGGCACCGGTGTCTGGCTTTTGATCCTAAAAGGCAGATTTGCACATGCATGTATGTATGTCTTTGTATGTCTATGTGAGAGACTCGACGAGTGACTCGCGTCCCCTTAGCCCCTTAGTCTTGACTTTCAAAGTTTGAAAAACCGGTGCGCGACGACAAAGGTTTTATAATGTTATTTCGACACACACTCACACACATCCTTTGATTGACAACTTTCCTGACAATTACGGGTACATGATTTATTTACAATTATTGTGCATGCTAGGCATCAAGGAGCGTTAGGGATGGAGATAAGAGATATGTTTAGCAAGGGGAGGTTTGTCGTTTTAAGTCGCGGGCATCATCTGCATCTGCATCAGCACAGCCAGGTTGGCCCCAAGTCAGGTGATGCGGCCTCACGAGCACTGCGAGAGCGGAAGACGGCGAAGTCGAGGGCTTAGCTTCCTCAAACCTTCCTCAACTGCATACATGCCGATATACATACATGCATACATACATACACACAAACGGCACGTCCGAAACAAGTCCGGCATAGTGGACCACAGCAGCGCTTTTTCCGGCATTGCAATGCGAGCAAGAGGCAAAACAACCCCCAGGTTTACGCATATACATACATACGCATACGTACACCCACACGACCGTGCTTGCGACACGCTTACCCCTTCAAAAAACACACACATGCCACCGAGTGCCCACCCTTTTACACACACACACACACACACACCCCAGCGATCGTCACTCCGCAGTCACTCCCCCTCCACACACATCAAAGGATCCCCCACCCATGGAGGCGCCATCGTTTGGATAAACCCTCCGAACCAATCGCAGTACCCCTAGCAGTAGTACCCTGCCCAAGGACAAGGAAAAGCCCACAAACGAGTTGCTGCGGCAACAGGACCAGTGCCGCGCCCGGTGGTGTCCTCGTGCTTTGTGGTGGCACCGACGGAAAGACACGACGTTGCAATGCAACAGCGTGGTAAAACGCTGCTGCGATGACGTCGGTACCAGGCTAGGGAGCACCCTCCTTAGGGAGCAGAGGGTGCCTGGTCGTTTCGCAAAGCCCTTGATCTTCCCTTCCGGCCTTCTGGGACTCCTCCATCAGTCTTTTAAAAATGTCACATCAAGTCATCATGCTCTTAACGATGTAAAGAAACGCGAGCATGTGCCTCGCACATGTCACAGACGTCCCCAGGCGGATAAAGCCCCCCCCACACACGAACCCACACCTCCGGCACGGCACGGATAAACCAGTGCGGCATATGCACAAGCAAAGCGCGGCCAAAATAATTTAATGCAATGTCGATAACCCCTAAATGGGTTTGAGCTCCCTACCGATAGGTTTCTTGTTCAAGTTTTTACGGTGTTGGACCCCCTGTACGGGTACAGGGATTGAACACACATGCACACACTTGCCAGTTCCGAATGACCCTCTCCGGACTACACTCTAAAATGCATTTGGCAAGGAGACTATCAAGTGCGGGTTCAAGGTCGACATACTCAACTGATGAGCCAAACGACAACGATGCCGGCAGAAATGGATGGATAACTACTACTCACATCCTTACTCTCCGCACCCCGCCCAGCGCGGCCGTCTGTGTGCGTTTGTGTGTGTGTGTGTGTGTGTGTGTGTGTGTGTGTGTGCTCTCCCTCCCGGCATTTGGCTGTGGTTTAAAGTTGATGACCTTTTTTTTCCGAACGCGGCGTCATGCGCAACGTAGTAGATCTGTAATACTGGAAACAAAAGGGCGGGGAGCGTAATGGTATCCATATGTGCCTTTCTTCGCAATTTGTGAGCCGCTCAACAAAAGAACATATTCCAGGTATTGGCCCAAACAGGTGCATGTCCTTCCAATCGGTTCCAATTTTTTGCAGCCAATCTGTTAGCTACAAATTAGCGTATAGGCCGAAAGCGCTAAGCGCCAGTAACCCAGAACCGTATCAGAGCTGAAGACCCCAACGCGAACCACAATCGACAATCGAAGAGCTTAAAGATCAGATCCAGGCAAATCTCCGCCAAACGTAAATCCAAAGTCGATTCAAGTCTAAAACCCAGATCATAACTCAATTCAAGTTAATATCCAGAAGCAGATCCAATGTTCCAACCCAAATCTAGGCGTAGTATCCTTTCACCTCGATTAACCAACCTGGCATCGCGCCGCAGCTGCCCGTTCCCTTTCTCAGCTCCCAATCCTCCCCCACACGCCCAAGCCGTGCCCAAGCCACAAAAAATACACCACGCGTATCTGCCACGCCGGCAAAGGAGCAAGGAGTGCTGGTACACACAAGGCCTGCCTTAAAAACACCCCGCGGTGGGCCCATGGGGGCCTCCCCCTCGTCCTTAGGAACCGCCAAGAAGGTAAGCATTACCACAGCTGCCGTCATCAAAAAAGTTCCCGTTTTAAAAGGGCCGTTTTAAAAAAGCCAACCATTAAAATGCCATTGCCACTTGTTGCCCTGCTTCGAAGTGTTCATGGCTAGTAGTTGTTATTGTTGTTTGTTGTTTTGCGCTGCCGCATCAAAGGCAAAAACGCAGTTGATAACCCGAGCAAAAGCGCCTTGACCTTGACGCTACCCCTCCGAGAAAAACATCGGAAAGGGTGCAGAGATTATGTAGATTTCTTTCTAGAAGTTTTTTTTCCAAAAGCAGTCCTGACTGTGTTGCGCAAAAAAGAACTGCATTACGTAGCAGGAGAAGACTAGACGAGACCAGGCTAGAAGAAGCTGGGCAACGGTATCTGCGCGCTTGCCCAGGGCGCAAGAGGAAGGGGCGCCCTGGGCGAGCGCGCCTTCCTCTTGCGGCTCGAACCTGGGATTTCATAGCTACACGCAGATGGTACATGGCATTTATAGCCAATCGTACCGCGCGCCGTTACGGTATCAGCACCACATCGTCTACAACAAACAAGGACATAAAAACACGGACTGAGCAAGCAAGCAAGCGCACAGTCTCGCACACACATTCAACAGGAAATGCAGCAGCAGCAGCAGACGAGCACAGGCAGCAAGAAAAGCGAGCGCAAGCGTTTCCCTTCCCCTTCCCGACCCCATATATCCGCCGGCCGGAAATACAACCGACCTAAAGGCATACTCCGTACCATCCACGATAGCCCAGAGGCATCCTAACGGCACGTTTTTTCCAACCATCAGCCAGTGCTCAGGCTCCGCCTGACCCTTAACCCTGGTTCCTCCCGATTTGCAGAGGTTAATAGCTCTCTCCGGAGGTCAAAGCCTATCCCGTCCAGCTCCGTCATGCTCCGCCAACGAAATATATGTTTGCAAGCCGAAGAAAATTTCCCTGGCCCATTCGATGTCCGACCAACGTCCGGCACAGCTCCGCTGCGGAGGCTTCCGAGGCAACGCAAACACCAGCAGGAGGAAGAGAAAAGGACGGTCGGGAAAAGGTGTCCCCAAAGCCCGGTCAACATCGCAACCCGGGAATCTCCGCGCTCCTGTGAAGAGCCCATGCGCGTCGCTCCATCTCTCTGCTCCTAACCCCTCTCCAAACATACACGCCGCTTATTGACGACGAACTTCACGACACTTAACAACAAGCCAAAGAAAGACCAGGGGCCCCTACACACACATAAACACACAAACACCCCGAAACGGCACACGCATTGTCCCACCCCCCAATTCTTCCACTTCCCAACCTCCACATCCCCCTCCTTGCGCTTTCGGCCCGCAGGCTGGTAAGTTTTGGCAGCCAGATTGCCAGTGCCGTCAGGAGAGATCCGACAAAAGCCTGCCCCGTCTGCGTCTTAGGCCTTTCCGCGCCTGGGACTCCGAAAGGGGGTTAGTGTTGGACGCATAAAGCGGATGGACGCGTCAAAGCCAGCTGCAGCAACCCCTATCTCGGCAACCACGGAGCACCGCACCACCACAGCTTTCTCACAAGGCGCCACGTTCAGGGGCAGGGCGCCTTCGTCGCCTCGACCGGATGGCTGTGTACAACAGGAGGCCAGGTTATCGCAACACGCGCCAAAAGAACTCGCCCATCTCGCTTCGCGGTCCGACCTATATTTCTTGCGAGTAGGAGGGAGGCGCTACATGATGTCCTTGAGACGTTACGTCTCGTTACCGAGGCCTTTGTTTCCATACAACCCTTACGTGCTCGCTGTATGGGGTGTCAACCAACGTAACGTGATCGGGACGCGCAGAGCCCAGGCAAGCCCGCAAGGCGACATGCAAAGCATCCAGGAAAAGCTGCCGCCCGCTCCATATGTCCCACCCGGAAGTGGTTTAAAATCTCTGCGCGACGAAGAAGAGTCCGTGCATGAGCGTCCTCCGCCTTCATATGAGGAGCAACGATGGAAATCAAAGCCAAGTACAAAAAGATGCCAAAGATGTCCGATCGGCAACGAGCAACCAAGCAGCAGTAAGGAGGGAATCCGGACTGAAACACGACACGTGCCTAGAGGATATGTGCCAAGATGTGGGCTTGGGAACGCAGCCACACAAACACAGCCCCCAAACTCTGTGTGACGGCTCACTTTTCCTGTCGTCATCTGGTAGGAGAAACCCAACCCCTGAAAGAGGCGCCGCACTCCCTGGATGTACTCAGTCCTTGCCCCTTGCCTTAGCCCCCGCAGCGGCCTGGTTGGCTCCTTAAGGCAGCGTGAATGCGTTTTCCTCTCTTTCCCATCCCCACGCAAGGAAAGGCCGGGGAGACGCGCGAACTGGGCGACGCAATCATTACTGTCCGCACCATTAAATGAGGCAGGACCCAGACAGACGGTCGGCTGCACGACCCAGACCCATAAACCCTAACGCCATTACCCCTCAGGACGCCGACTTAGGTAGGAGGAGGTAGAGGAGGAAGAGGAATTCACATGGAAATTTGGCTTGAACAACTTCTCCAAAAACCTCCAAAGCGCTGGTTTTTCACCCCACCCATTCCCGCCACAGCACACATACACGGTCACTCTAGAAACCCACCACAAACCTGAACCTCTTCCTAACCAACCACAAGCGGCCCCAAAAGAATCGTCGCCCCGCGCCCGGCTTCAGAAAGCAAAGTGATCAAACTCGACCCTGACCCTCGGCTCCACTACTACCACATCGCGCCTCGGCTGAAAGATGCTTATTCACAAAGGAGGCCCTAAAAGGAGGGCGCCCTGCAGCCAGCAAATCCCAGAATGGGAAGCATCCGGCGCACCCGCCCTGACTTCATGGATTTGGAAGACATAATGTTGTCGCAGCCGCATATAATATTCCCCCCCCCAGCACCATGCCAACGACCTCCTTAATCTAAGAACCAACTCCAAACTCCACCGCGCCCGTGCCGCCGTTTATGCCTGTCCGCCATGCAAACATGCCCGGTCTGCGCCTCCCAGCTCCCTACGCAAATAGTGCAAAGCCTCCTGGCTCTTCACCGCCACTACGGGAAGCTCGATTTGAGGGGTGTGCCTAGCATGGTGTATGGCCAAGTGCTGAAGGAAACGGTGCCAGTAGAATGGATGATAATGCGCTGTTCAAAGTTTAACTTCGAGCTCTGTCTCTTGTCGTACTCTAATCAACACGGGGCCTACAATCTGCCATAAACGCAGCCACGTGAGTCAACGACTAGAGATTGCGCGTCGTGTTATGCAGGGCCTAGTGGCAGGCTTCGACTACTGGCCTAGTCGCACTCCCGGATGCCGCAAGCCACCACAACGTCAGCGTACAACGTCCCCCCTGCAGCGAGGCACGTAGCCATTGCGGCAAGTTTACCTTTCCCAACCCTGCCGCCGCCGCTGCTACAACGGCCGCGGCAGCAGCATTTTGGCCGGACTTTCCATCAGCAAACCCAACCTGTCAAACAAGGTGCCATAATCAAGGCCGTACTTTGCCGTACTCATCGTACTGGCAAGGCGAAGCTCTGCCCTGCCCAAACCTCACAAGTCCTGATGCTCCATCCGCTGCTGCTACGCCATTCGCATCCTCGCACGTTGCATCATTCGAGGCCTCCCATCTGGATTATCGAAATTTTAAAAATTTCACTTCCTAATTTGGAAATGTGCTCTTGCGGACGAAGTGCCGCTTCATTCGGTTCGGAGCTAGCCTCGGGCTGAATCGTTCATTCTGTTGGGATCTAACGAATATCCGTTTCGGAGAACCAGGTCCCTAACCACCATCCATCGCCTAGTCCTGCGAAGAGCGGTATGAGCAGCATATTTCAGGCAAGGCACTGAGAAATGGTCTTCCTTCCACCTGCCCGCGCGTCATCCACACCACATGGCTTGAAGAAGGTCGCTTCTCAAAGGTCTTGAGGAAAGTGGGACGCTGCGCAGAGGCGCCGTGGCCGCAAGCCGCATGCACGCCCTGATGCGTGGCGTCAATACCAGGGTTCGACACTGACCTTCCTGAAACACGCCGTATACCCCGTACGCCAATACACTCAAAATGGCGCGGCCGCCACCGCCGTCGCCGCCGGCAGGCCAAGGTCGCGGCGGCGGCTCCAATAGGCTCATATGCAAACTCACGGCAACCGCTGCCGCTCTCACACCACTGTCCAGATAGTCATGTGAAGCAGTAACAATGTCAAGACGTAAGCAGATCAGGCACTTAAACCAGCAGCCGCTACCCTCTCCTGCAATTAAAGTACCGCTTTCCTGTGCTGCAGTCCTGCTCTGCGTCTGGACCCATGCGCGCATCTTCAGGAAAGGAACAAGCTGCAGCGATCTGGGTCGCTCCATCCTGTTTCATTTGACGCCGCGGCATGGCCAGAGAGAGCTAGAGGGAATGATAGCAGCAGCACATTGCCACCCATCATCCAAATTGGCACTACCATGACGATGCCGCCGCAGCTTAGTGCGGCTGTCGCTGTCCAATGTGGCTGCGGCCTGAGGGGGTTGCATTCCCCCCTCTGTTGCCACCGAAGGCCGCAGCATTAGCCTGTAACAACAACACCAGGGGCTCCTAGCAACTGACTGAGCCAGTCACCAGTCAATAGCTTTTATCTTAGCAGATACTGAGCTCCAAGTAACGCGTTCCAAGGTAATGCCTATTTAGATCGCGTACTGCACGTAGAGCTTCCTGTGGACTGCTGAAGCTGAGCCATGCCTCGCCCGACGGGCGCCCCAGCTGATCTAAACCGATCTGCAGCGTATCGGGAAGGTAATGATACGTCTGGAAGAACGCAAGGATCTCCGTGGGGCTACTGCCGTACGGCAGCCCGCGAATCTTGATAGTGGGCGATGTCGCGGTCTGCACGACACGTGTGCCAGCGGCCACAAAGTGGCCCTGCGGTGGCCCTGCCATGTGAAGTGATTGCGCAGCAAGCGGCTGGGGCAGCACCCCCGCCGCTGCCGCGGCGGCAGCAGCGGCGGCGGCGTTGCCGCCGCCGCCACCGCGGGGCCCGCCAACCTGTGGACCGCCGCCATGCTGCATGCCTGCGGCAGCTGCTGCCGCTGCAGCGGCGGCAGCAGCCTGCTGCTGCGGCCCTCCTATGGTCATCCCTGAGAACTGCGCTGCAAGCTGCGCTGGCGACTGATACTGAATTCCCGCAGCCTGCTGAGGCTGCAGCTGCTGGCCTGTAGCTTGCTGTTGGGCGCCTGGCTGCTGCTGATAGGACGGTTGATACGGGGATTGCCTGCACATTTCGAAAGCAAGGCGGATTCGAGTTGGCGCATGCGGTATTCAACGCTTTGCTACTAGTTCCGAATACATGAACGAAACAACTACAGTTTCCGAACGCGGGGATTCAAAACATATCTTGATCAGGAAGCTTGGGACGGGCTTGATTACCTGCCCGATGAAGGCAGGGAGCGAAGTGCTTTTAGGCCAAGATTTTTGAACGAAAATGTAGGCAATAATACATCTTCCCTAGATCTGTGCGCCAGCATGCGTCGGCCCGACGCCACAAACTGAAAAACCTGTGCGCAGGTCCTAAGGAGGTTATAGAGCCGACATCCTACACCAAGTTCCAGGAAAGCCCAGAATAAACTAAATCTAAAATTTTCCCTTAACAGGAAAATGCGGCCGTTTCAGCTTCTCGCCCTCGTTTCGGCCCAACCGCCGAGGACAATCACGGGACAGCAGTGAAAACCTACCAAAGCCTAGACTCCATAGGCACTTGTCCAGGTCCCGCTGGCTGAGAATAAGGCGCATTCATGGCTGCGCTAGGACCCGGTGCGCCAGGAGGTCCCATTGCGGCCATGACTGGCCGCCCTCCCGGCATTACCGTTGGCACAAGCTGGAGCGGCCCAGTCGCCATATAGACTGCGCTGTTCCGTTGCTGAGAGCGCATCATCCGAGAGCGAAGCTTGGCTGCAGCGCCCGGGATTGCCAGAGTGCCAAGCCGCACTTGTTCCTCCATTTCCGCGCGCGGGACGTGCAGCAAACGAACATAACGTTGACCAATATACTCGCCGTTCTTGGAAAGGGCCTACAAGGAGCCACTGCATCAGTCAGGCCTACCACCGGTAAGCAGAATTACGAAGGAGAATTCAGTTGTCGCTCACCTTTAGCGCTTCCTCTTTGCTCACAAACTCAGCAAATGCCTGCATAAGGCCAATACAGCATCAACGGGCGATAAGGACAGACCACGCCATAAGAAAAGAATATCGACCAGAGAGAACCATAAAAGGTAACCCAACAAGAGTGCTTAAGCGAGTAAGAAGCCAAGGAAGCGCCATGAGATGTTCCCGAGAGGTTTGGGGCAAAGCGTAAAGTTGGTGCGTTCGACACATTGACGCACCAAGCCGCTGGGCCGTCCGTCTGGCTCATAGACGAAGCTCACACCCTTCAACTCATATGGTGCAAAAAATTGACGGATATCATTCTCAGTTGCTGAGTATGGAAGACCCCTGCAAGAACAGCAGCGCCATCCGGCTGTGAAAACCACGCATAAAGGCCAAATGCCGAGACATATGGTCGTAATCGCCATAGCACTGACTTGAGCTTTAGGATTGCGGAACTCTGATCCGCCTGACGCTGCCGGGCCACCTCAGGCGCTGCGCCCGGGAAACTGTTGGCACCTGTTCCCACCGCCTGAGCAGCGGCAAGGTCGGCCTGAGTGGCGCCAAGCGGGTCCATATTCTCACTTCGCGTGGGAAAGAATTAAACCTACAACTAAGCGATGTGATTCCCTCAACTGGCGTAGACAGCCCGAGTACGAGTTGGCACGTACGTTTGCAAAGGAAAACGAAATAAGGTTAGCAATAGGAAAGCCGGCCTCTAGGTGCGGCGTCGCCAAAGCAGAGGGAATAAGGTAGTGCGGCAGCGAAGCTGAGAAGAAAGATGCAGGTTATAGGATATCGACTAGATATTGCAAGGTGTCCCCTCCATCAGCTAAGGGACATGCACATAGGGCTGCAGTGGATTATGGGGGGAGCCAGGAGTTCCAATTGTACGTCACTGTGAAGTCTGCCGCAGACCGCTCTCAGCAAGAATTTTTTTCTTTTCGTCTACAGCACCGCTTGCTCTTCTCCCTGTATTTGAGAAAAAATCAATTTTAATGTATATAATGATAACATCGCACAGCAGCGCCTGTCAGGCAACACCGCCTTTGCTGAACATGATCAAGACGAAGATAAACACGTATATCGCCTTGCATCGCGAGCTTCCTTGAGCCAATGCTCTTAGCCGGGAACTCAGGGAAGTTCGACAGTCCGCAAGTGCGATTACCGAACCGCATTCCGTACGTATATCGGGGTGTCACGGCAACCTTTGAAGGTCTGGAAATTTAATGAATGGAAATGAGTTCGATTAATGAGAATAGTTCCCGGGGCTAAGATCGCACCACTCCTTCTCCAATCGTCCAGCTCTGCGTACGGCGTCTTGTGGCACTTTTGCACATGAACTATCTAATCTTGTTACTCAATGACCTTCAAAGATTATCCCTTTGATATGTGCAAATAACCTGCCTATTCTCCAGTTATTGGCTCACATGCTCGTCCGTAGGTCCAGCTTTTATATTCGGTTGCGAAACCTGGACCAATAGCTAATGTGGTCAATACAGGCCAATGCATCGTTCGTAAAGGTGCATGGAACATTCGTTGGCTTTGGAGGTCCCAAGTACTTCTTAATCCTGCTGTTTTCGGAAAGAATCCCAGACTGTCGGCGTTGAAAATAACTTTGCCAACACAGCTATACTGCCAACAATTCCATTTTGTTTGTACTGTCTTGGCCACAATTCAGACTAGTGCTAGGGGACAGGTGTTTGACTTTACGTACAAGGTAGAGCCCGACATGGGCCGCAAGCATTCAATTTTGTATAACGAAACCAACTATGGGAAATGCAGCTTTTACTTGTGGGCAATACGGCTAGTACATCAGCAGTACCAATCTGAAGCAGATCAACCATGGTGTACTCCGCAATTTATGTATCAACAATACTGTAGAGATATTTTGAGTTCAAGCTACAGTCTATTGGAAACGCTAAACTCAACAGGGTGTGTGTGCTTTCCACAAATCGTCTGCGTTCTGCAAGCCTTTATGACGAATCATCCTTTGGAACCAAAGCGGTCAACATTTGTCCTTTTTACATTTCGTGTCTAGCTCACTGCTGTTCATTGACTTAAATAGTCAGCAAACCTAATGCACCTCTGTATGGACACTTCTCACATCTATAGCAAATCTGGGCAGTTTCTGTATGAGGTGCAACCACAATTCATAGGGCTGAATGAGGGCGAATCCGTGCCAGAGCTTGTCTTCGTCTGGGGGGGATATGTGACACCGGATTTTGAGGACTATGGAGCGCTCTAAGGAGCTTAGCTTTAGTGTCCGAAACAGCGGAGATGCGGGTCAGTCACCAGGACTTGTGGGGAGCACCCCAGGATTTGTTGGTGACCTTCAGGTGTGGCTGTTTCTTAGTTACTGGCTCTATAGCTACCCAAAAAAGGAAGTAAGTTAATAATAACTTTCGCTGTGCAGCTCCTCGCTGGAGAGGAGCTGGAAGCACGGCTGCAGGTGCGCAAGAGCTGTCGCATTTTGCTTCAAGCAGTCTTTAGATATGACAGCCGAGGCGTGCAGGCAGGTCTGCCACTACCCATATCGATGCAACTCATATAGGTGCCCTGCTCACCCTTGCCAGCCACACCCTGTTGGACAATGTTGTTTCCCTGTAGGTCCATGACCGGATTGGCGGAGGCTCCAGCGCGCGCGTGTACAGGGGCACCCTGGATGGCACCTTGCAGGTGGCGGTAAAGGTTCTACACCCTCACGCCGCGCAGCGCGAGTCAAGCCTGCAGGTGCGGGCCCATTTGATTTCCCCACAGATATGCCAAGCCTTGGAGGCAGGGTTGGCTAACACCCTACAGCTTCCACGGCTCCAATACTGAGTCTCGATAGAACGAAGGGGCGATACAGGGGATGAAGGACAGGCCGGTGCTCAGTCGTTGCCGTGAATGAAGGAAGAAGAACACAAGCTGAAAGACTTACTGTGAAGCTCCGGGCCTCAGGCTCTGTAAGGGATGGAAGGGTAGATGCAATAGATGCAGGTTAACCAACAGCAGCAGGCGCTGGCGGCCTCGCTGTCCAGATCGCCTCGGCTGCAAGCTGAACAGCCCGCCTGCTTCATCGGCTGGAGGAATATGACGGTGCCCGTGTCCTTACTCACTCCAGCGTTCCAGACCGCTCAAACCCCCCTCCCGGCCTGCTCTCGATGGGGGGGGAGGGGAAGGGAGGCACGAAAGCTCTGACCGGCAGGGGACACTGGCAGGGGACAACAGCGGGGTGGTGGGAATTTAAAGAGCACAGCAGCCATCCTGACAGCACCCGGATAAGTGCGTTGGAAAAGTGCCCGAGTGCCCTTACACGCCCGAGTAGGGGACATGTAGGAAACTGTTGCGCGATGTGGGTCAAAAGGATGTTGGGGTCAAATGCCCGGGGAAGGCGGGAAGCACTACCTGACCTGGCCTGTCCTGATCTGGGTCAGGGACTACTTTTATGGCCGGGATGAGGGTCGCCGAGGGGACCCATTGGCGTGAGCCGAGGGCTATCCGTTGGAAGGAAATGAAGGTCTTTTGACCCGCTGCCTGGTTTATTGTGGTCTGTGTTGTGGCCTGTGTCAGTCATGTGGTTGAATACGGTGCCGGCGCGATATGGGTCGCTCGACAAGCGCGGAAAATGCGAGCTGGTGATGCTTGCCAAGTGTCCCTTCGATGCTCCTGGTCATTGCACACGCGGCCTCTATGAATATGCCTGCACGCATCCTGCTTTCTGCCCGTCCTGCTCGGTCCCGTGCGGGTCCGCAGCACCTCCTCCGAAACCTCAATGTGCCCCTGTGCCCGCCGTTGACGTGTCCTGGGGTCCCACACGCGAATGTATACTCATCCCCTCCCCCCAAAAGAAAACCACCGCCACCACCGCCTAACACATCGCTACAACCTTCCCTTGACTTTCTCTGCCGTCAGGAGTTTTTGCGTGAGGCGCAGGTGCTGGCACGACTTCAGCACAAGTGCGCGTGGGCAGGAGCACGGGCTGGGATGCGCCTAGGGGGATGGATGGCCAGCAGCAGGGGGCCCCCGTGTCAGGGATGAAGTTACTCCGGTGGACTTGGTAGGCCCAAGAGGGCCTCACATAGGCTTCGGCACAATCGGTCACCACAGTATAAAAGAAAGAAGTCCTTCAAGCATCTTCCCTGGCTGGCTGCAACGCTCAAATTTAGCGCGCTCACGCTCCCTTTCCCATTCGCTGTCAACGTGGGCCGTTTGTGTTTGAAATGAAGCTTTCGTTGGGGATCGTGTGTTAACCCTTTCTCACGCACGTGAACACAGGCACATCATCCGTCTCCACGCCCTGGCGCACCTGCCGCCGAATTTTGGGGGCCTCCCTACGCGGAGGTTCACCTGGGGTATCGTGACGGAATACATGGAAGTGAGTATGTGTCGGCGTCTATGGGTCGATGTGGATGCGGCGGGTTGTGGCGCAATAGCGGCAAGGACAGAGCCAAGGGAAAAGCCCCTTGGATGGAGTGGCGTCAGACATCGTGGACATATGGAATTGTTGGGAAGGGTCGCCTGGGTCGAACTCGCCGCTGGCTCTAGCCTCCAGCTAGTCTCCTGCGCGCCTCCGCTGCCTCCACAGGGTGGCACGCTTACCAAGCTGGTGCAGGACGCGGCTAAGGTTTACAAGCAGCAACAGCGGATTAAGCAACAGCTGCTGGCCGCCGCGACGCAGTCTTTGGGTGGGGCTTCCTCGGCAGCTCCGGAGCGCTCCAATTCCCTTCGCAACCTCCGGCCCAACCTGTCTTTCCTGCGCCGCCGGTCTTTGACGCCCGCCGGCGGCGACACCGTCACGCCGCCATCTCCGCGCAACCGCGGTGGCGGTGGTGGAGCGGCCTCGCCCGGTGGAGCAGCTGTATCTGCGGCACGGCTAGACTCGCTGATCCACGAGATGCCGACGCTGCCGTATACTGACCGGGAGGCGTTGCAATGGTGCATGGAGTTGGCGCTGTCGCTGCAATTCCTCCACGCGCAGACGCCCCCTGTCGTGCATCGCGACGTGAAGACGGACAACGTTCTGATGGCGCCGTTGCCGCTGCCATCGCCCACGGCAGCGGCGTCCGGCACCGCCAGCGGCCTGCGCGGTGCCGCCTCCGCCGACACGGGCGCTGCCGCCACGGCGGCGATGGCAGGCTCGGCCGGGCAGGGTGCAAGCTTCACCGCCGGCGGGAGCGGCTTGTACAGCTCACATGGCAGTCTAGCACGGCGGGTGCTGTCGGTGCGCGCGGCGGCAGCAGCGGCGGCGGCGGGGACGGAGGGAGGGCCCTCAAGACAATGCTCCATCACTACTGCGGTGGTCCGGCCTTGCGGTGGCCGGCCCCTGACCGCGAAGCTGTGTGACTTTGGACTGCATGTGGTGGGTTGCACAGGGCCCGGCCATCGTTGCTGTGGTGGAGGCGTGGGGGTTCTGCATCTGGCCAGATGGGCTTTTGCGTGTGTGTTAGGACCTCGGTGCGCAAGGGCGCTGCCCCCACCACAACTAACTACCAGGACTCCTATGCCGGCTGCGCTTTGGCTGCATGAGCTATTGTGCAGCTGATGAAATAATCCTCCATGCAATGATCTTGGAATGCTTCCGGGGTTTTCCAAGGGCACACTGCTACCTTTCTTGCCAGGTCACTCGTCAAGGTTATGCTGTACCCTTTCAACTGGAAAACGCGCCTCACGTTTTTCTCCACCTGGTGTAGGTCCTGGATCTGAGCCGGCCCGTCGTCACAGTTCGACGCCGTAGTTATGAACACGACTCACTGGCTATGGCCGCCGCTGGGGGCGGGCCCCCGCTGCCTTACTCCAACTCCCTGACGCGGCGATCCGCCCGCCATTCGCCCGCCGGCGGCGCCGGCGTGGCCTTATCACCGACCGCCAGCCTTGCCGTAATTTACAACAGTGTTTTGGCTGCTACGTGCGGTGGCGGTGGCGGGCACACGCACAGCAGCCAATTGCCTGGCCACGGAATGCCGGTGTGTCTGGGAGGACGCCACGAATCAGGGCGCCGGCGAAGCAGCCTGGTATCGAGCCGGGCGATAGAGGAGAACGTGAGGGACAGGGGTTAGGAAAAAAGACCGGGTTCCGAGAACACAGGGGGCTTACAGGATAAAGGAAAGCATACCCTGGCAATGATGTAGTCCACCTAGTTAAGGGGCAATGTGGTAACTTGGCAACGCCCAGACACAAGCGCCATTAAGACAAGGGCCGCGACATATGAAAAAAATGTGAGACGGAAATGATTTGGCCCAGCTCGAAAGGAGAGCCATATATAGGGGGGAGACAGGTTTATACGTAGGGAAGGAGGATGGGAGCTGTCGGGCCTCTCGGGCCGGATGAGGGAAAATGTGAAGGAAGCAGTGTGCGGGGCCGGAGAGGGACGGGGCGCACATGTTCGGGATGCGGAAGGCGTAACGAGACGGATGACTGAGACAGCTTCAGGAAGACACACACATCCATACACATATACACACACTCACACGCACACACGGCTTCCTAATTGCGGCGATCGGAAAAGTAATTGGCCACTTCAAAGTACACATGTTTCCACTTTGTACCTCGTTTGAGAATTTAGGGTGAGAAAGCAGGAGTAACGGAAACCAAGTAACGGAAGCCACGTAACGCCGATGCACGGTGTGGTCATGGGAGGGAAGGACCCTCAGCGCCGGGGGTTGCGCCCTTACATCCCGCAGCCAGATGAGGGTCGCGTGTGCAAGACGTCTACTTGACATAGCTGCTTTGCAAGCACCGCAGCTGCTTTTCCGTAACCTGCAACCTGCTCGGATCCGAGTTTGGCATCCTCCGCTTTCTTCTGGTAACGCCGCATCTACTGCCTGTGCTGGCCGAGCCCCAGCCCCGCTGCAGCTACGGCCAATGCCGCCGCCATGAGCTTTGACCAACACTCGCCTGCCACACGCATACCGGTATACCATGGTCCTTCCTTCGTATCGTATCCTTCTGTTACTTGTCTGGCCTTTCAGGCTTCCTGCCAGTTTACTAGCCTGACTTCCGCCCTGCTTGCGTTCCTTCCTGCCCACAAGCCTATGTCACTGCATGCAAGCATACCTGCCTGCCGACGACCCCCTTTCCGACCTTCCTCTGCGCCCATTCCTGCATACATGCCCGCATGTCTGAATACACCGCTGTTGTACAGGGAGTCTTCCGTCGTGCGGTGTCTCGCGACGGCGACTCGTTCTCTCGCACGCAGATCGGTGTTCATCGGAAGACCTCAAACCTCAGCCATGCGGATTCGTCCGAACACACCGGGGGGCCGGTCCTCAGTCCTGGCCACGTCCTCGCCGCCGTCGCCAGCGTTGGCGGCGGAGGAAGCGGCAGCGGTAGCAGCAGCATGCGCGCGACGGCAGCGACCGCCACTGCTGGCGGCGGCGGCGGCGGCGGCGGCTCCGGGGGTTCCGCCATCTTCTCATCCAGCCCGCCGAAGCCGATGCCCTTCGCAGGAAATGCCGCAGCGGCGGCGGCCGCTGCCGCCGCCGCCTTTGGCTCCAACGCCGGTAGCCTGGCTGGTGGCATCGCGCGGTTGTCCTCCGGGGCCATGGCCTCCGTTGTCGGGCTGCGAGGCAGCGGCGGCAGCACATACTGCAGTCCGAAGACCAGCGGCGCTGGCACAGGCCCGGGGCCGTCCAAATGGTCCGGCGGCAATGCAGCCGCCGCGCAGCATGGGCTGTCGGGTTTCGCCGCCACGAGGGCCTCCCTGGACTTTCTGCTCCAGGGCCGGTTGTCGGCGACGGCGGCCGTGGCGGCGGCGTCGCAATCTGTCGGTTCAACGCACAGCGTCATGATTGCTACTGGCGGCGGTGGCTCAGTGCCGGGCATCACAGGCGACCGCGGCGGCGGCGGTGGTGGCGGCGGCGGCGGCGGTGGCAGCACGGCATTGCTGATGCCCACTTCGGTGTCGCATGCGATGGCGGCTGGCGGTGGCATCGAGACTCTGAGCACCGGACAGATGATGCTTCAACTGCATGTGAGCGAGTGAATGGGGAGACAATAATGGAGGGAGAAAACGCAAATGGGGTATGGCTACATGAAATAAAGCTGCATGTGACACTCTGAGGAGGTTAAGACGTGAAAGGGATGGGGCCCCGAACGGAAGTGAAAGGTTGCGGGTGTGTGTGCGTGTGTGAAGGGGGGAAAGACGAACCACAGACGAGTGAAGCTGTTATCATCAGAGATAGACGGGATAGATACTACAGGATACGACATGAGTCGAGAGACTGATGTGTGTGTGGGATGGGGACAGGATAAGGGTACGAGTGTTCATAACACCGCGCAGTCAGTTCCTGGCCCGTCTTCGCACCACCCCTTATGTTTTCCTTGCCGTAGCGCCCGCAGGCTGTCCCACATCGATGCCTTCTCTTTGGTTCCGGTACACCATCCCAGCTCCCAGCTCCGCCATATATGAAGTACTGTTTGTGTCGCGCTCGTGACCTGCGTGTGCCTCACCACCACTTCTCCGCTACCACACCCACACCCACCACACCTGCCATAATCGTAACCACCTCAGTGGCCGCAGCGAGTATAGTGCATAATGATAACCCTACCCTCGGCCAGGGTGCGAGCCATACCGGCATGTTGGACCGGGCGTCGCGACTGCGGCCATCCCACGCCGGGCCTTTAACTGGGGACCTGGGCCTTGGAGGCGGTGGGATGTCCTTAGAGGCAGCCTTACGGATCGCCAATCGCTCGAGCAGTGGACGACCCAGCGCCGCCGCGGCTGCGGCGGCGGTGGCTGCGGCTGTAAGCAACGGCGGAGGCAGCACATCCGGGACGGAGCCGGGAATGTACGGCGGCAGCGGCGGCGGCGCTGCCGGTGGCGGCGGTGAACGGGTCGGGGGCAGCAGCGGCGGCGGCGCGGTTCGGGCGCCTCGGCCGAGCGGCGGATCGCCGGCGACGAGCTCTCGAGGAGGCACTCGACTGCGTAGTAACCCTACGCAGGTTGAAAAGGTGGGGGGATGAAGATCGGGGGGGAGGGACGAACCACAAACGAGTGAAGCTGCTGCCAGCGCAAGAGTGTACCAGACGTAGAACTGAAGATGGGGGGGGGCCCAGGGAAGTGGGTGAACGTGCACCTGGGATATAGAGACTGACGTTGGCGGGAGGTGGGTGTGATTTCCCCCTTGCAGCCCCTCGTTTGCATTATGCACGAGATTCCTGCGGGGCCATCCACCTGCAGGGATGGATGGCATTATATATGCTTCCGCAGCGGATTTGTGTGCGCTTTGCACTGTGGCATTCCCGACCCCCAACCTTTCCCCTCTGCAGTACTTGGCCATGATGGAGGAGGACCTACAGCTGGATATCGCCTCGCGATCCTCCTCTAAGTGAGTGTGCGCCTTCGCCTGTGGTGGCTTGGGCAGGAAACCTAGGGAAACGAAAACTAGGGACTGAACTTAAAAGATCTGAACTATCAGGACGACAGTCAACCGGCGAGTTTATAGACCAAAGGGCAAACTCAGGGTTTGTGCGATGGGCGGCGTGCGCGTCCTGCCCTTGGGGCGCGCTCTGTGATGGTGGTGGTGATGGTGGTGGTGGTGGTGGCGGTGGCAGCGGCACGGACGGCATTGAAACGCACGCCTGGTAGTTGCAAGTTGCTTGTTCTGCGCACGATAACTGTTGCCTAACGTTGCGAAAGTGCTTTTTTATGTTGGGGGGGGGGAGCATGCAGGTGCCGGTGCCATACCTGTAACACCTCCTCCCACGTCCTCCACCCCGATGCCCCCATGGCCCTTCCTCCTCTGCACGCAGAGCCCAGGCCGAAATGGAACCACTATCTAGTGCTGCATCGCGTGCTGGATTGCAGGCTGCCGCAGCCACCTACTTGCGCAGCGGCGGCCCCAGCGGCGGCGCGGGGTCGATCGGCAACGGCACTTCCTCGAACCGCAGCCTATTGTCCGCTGGCCCCAGCCAAAGCAGCATGCCTGGAACCGCCCACATGGCCCAGCTGCCACAGCCACAGCTGCAGCAACAGCAACAGGTGGGGTATGCCGGGGCGCCTCTGTGTCGGTATGCGAAGGAGGCGGCTCGGCTAGGGGGAGGAGTTTTGGGAAGGGACCTGGCCTCTCAGGACGTCTCGCATCTGACTTTTCTGACAGTTTTCCGAATCACTTTTTCGTAAGGATGTGGTCGCCGCCAGGTCATCGGGATGCTGGCCTGTTCTTAACCTTGAAGGATATCATTCAAGGATATCTTTCCGTCGGGGTTTTGTGTGCTTCTGCTCCCCATGGCACAATCTGACGGGTACAGACCTACCGTTGGTCTTCGTAACGGTTTTTCCCACTGCTCCAGTCAATCGCGCACAGTCATCTGTTTCACTTATCCACTCACCCACCCACCCGGCCATGCGGGTGCCCACGGTGTTTCGCTCTATCCCTCCCGACCTCCAGGCTGCCCCCCTGCCCCCTGCCAGCGGCAGCCAGCAACACCCCGTACTGCCACCGAAGTCGTCTGTGTCGACGGATCGACACCATCAACAGGCAGGGGCTCATACCAAGGCGGCACACGGCAGCGGCGGCGGCGCCGTCGCTGCCGCTTTCGGGGCCGCGCCGGGTCGGTTGCAAGCCAGCGGCAGTGGTAGCGGCAGCGGCAGCGCGGCTGTGGCGGCGGCGGCGGCGGCGGCCGGCATTCCTGGGGTGGCCCGCGCCTCTAGCCTAGGGGCCAACAGCCCCAGCAGCCCCAGCATGCATGCAGCCAGCACCGCTTCAACGCGCAGCGAGCAGGGGATGATTGTGCTGACTGGTGCTAGCTGCTGTGGGTTTGGAGAACAGTCCGCGCCAGCAGCTGGTGGTGCCGCCGTGCCGCAGCCGCTGCCGCCGCAGCCACACCCAGCAGCCGGCGGCGGCAGTGGAGTCGGCGGTTACGCTGCGGCAGGGCTGCGCGGCATGGTGATGCTCGCGCGGGGGCCTAACCCCATGAAGAGCAGCAGTCAACCAGCCCTTTCCGTGTCGTCTTCCGCCAACGCCGGCGGTTTCCCGCACTCAGGCGCACCCTCTCCCGGGCGGGGCCCGAACCCCATGAAGGCCAGCAGCCAACCAGCCATGTCCGTGTCGGCATCCTCCTTAATATGCATGGACGGCGCCATTCACGGTGTTGCCGCGGCGGCCGCCGCGGCGGTACGACAGCCGCCATCCTCCCGCCCTGCGCAACCAACTGGTGCTAACAGCGGCCAGGTGCCGGTGCAGCTGCGCGGCGCCAGTGGCGGCGGCGGCGCCGGCTACAGCGCCGTACACTCGCCATCTCGCGGTCCTAATCCGGTGAAGAGCAGCAGCCAGCCAGTTATGTCGGTAGGTGCCATGGCGGCGATGGCGGCCTGCGGGGTTTCCAAAAGCCCCGGATCGGCGGGCCGCGGTCGCGACGCCAGCGGCTCCAGCGTCGCCGCTGTCCCTACAGGACTGGTGCGTACGGCATCTCACGGCAGCCGCGGCATGAGCCATCTCAACACGGCGGCTGTAAGTGTGGCGGTGGCGCCGGCCTCACCCACGGGTAGTGTGCATGCGATGGACCTCAGCCCTCCAGTTGCAAGGTCAGTGCTGACTTGAGGACAAATACTTGATCTTGCGCGTTTGTACAAACGAAATGGTATACGATGGCATATCTGTGGGGTGGGGTGGGGTGGGGTGGGGGGAAGAGAGAGGAGAGGTTAGCATAGGACTGGCGGTACAGCTTGTGAATGCGCGTGAGCGGTGTGAATCGAGGAAGACCGCAAGCGCCTCAAATCATGCGAAGACAACACGGAGACACGCTGGAATATACTTGCTACTGCTGGAATATACTTGCTACTGCTGGAATGTATTTGCTACTGCTGGAATGTATTTGCTACTGCTGGAATGTATTTGGCTACTGCTGGAATACATTTGCTACTGCTGGAATATACTTGCTACTGCTGGAATGTATTTGCTACTGCTGGAATGTATTTGCTACTGCTGGAATGTATTTGGCTACTGCTGGAATACATTTGCTACTGCTGGAATGTATTTGGCTACTACTGCTGCTCCTACTTCCTGCTACTGAATCCTCTCATGCCTTTGTGTTGCACAGCAGCACCGCATACATATACATCAAAGAACTCAGCGCGAGGATTACTTCAATGCCTTGAACATGTACCCTTCTGCGTTACTTTCTGCAAAAGGCAAATAGTTCGCATGTTGAACGCGACGTAACACGCTTCCGAAATCAATTCAACACAATACATCGTGTGTTCGTCGTCAGGATTCGCTCATCGCGGATGGGTCAACCTCAGCTCGTCCCGGCAGCGGCGTCGGCGGCGGCCGCGGCGGGAACGGCCGTGACGAATTCGATGGGGGCGCCCGGTTTGGCCACAGCCGACGGCGACCTCGTGCAGCCCGGAATCAGCGCCTCGGCTCTCCTGAGCGGCGGTGGCGGCAGCGCCGCCGCCACAGCCGCACTGGCGGCACGCCGCAATCGACAGCCGTTAGAGGTGGCAGTACCCGTGGACGCTGGCGGCGGCGGCGCCATCACCGATGGCGCTGAGTCGGCGTCGTCCGTCAGTGGCAAGCTGCTGCCGCGGCTCCTGGCGGCGCCAACCGGGTCGTGCGGCGCTAGCGCCGCCGGCGGCGATGGTGCCGCCAGCGGCTCCGCCGCAGCTTCAATTATGGCCGGTCGCCAATGGGTTGCCACGGTAACCGCCGCAGCGTCGCCCCGAACCCACAGCCCTAGCGGCGGCGGCGGCGGCGGCAGCGGCGGCAGCCACCAGCTCGTAGCAAGCCCTTCCGGCGGCGGCGATGTCAACATCTTGCCAATGCCGCCGCTGATGCACGCGTCTGGTGTCGTACTTAACCGAGAGCTTCACAAAGTCGTGAAAAGGCTGCGGCCCGACGGCGGCGGTAGCTCCTTCACAGGTTCCGGCAACTCGCCGCTGGGGCTACCGCCCACGGCACCCACGCATCACGGCAGCGGCGGCGGAGCCGCCGCTGCTGCCGCCCCGGCCACCGGCGGCGAGCCTGGCTCCTTTACGTGCAGTCGCCGCTCATCCATAGACTCTCACGCGCTGTCATACCAAAGTATCGGCTCCGCTAGGAGCGCGACGGCAACGCTGCAGCACCCCGGCGGTGGCTCTGCTAATGCCAGTGGCTCGGGAGCCATCCACGGAGTTGGTGGTGGTGGTGGCGGTGGCGGTGGCGGGCCCGCCGGCCTGTCGAGCCTTTACCGTGAGAAGCTGCTTTGGGGACGCGGCCTACTGCAGGGGACGGGCAGCGCGGGCCAGAGCAGTGCCGGTGCAATCCCCGGCGGCAGCGGTGGCGGAAATATCGCGCACAGCGGCCCTGTGCCGTCGACCGCTCTGACAAGCGATCCCAACTCCCCCGTCAGCAGCTACGGCCCCGCCGCCGGCTCGGGCAGCCTCCTGGGCCGGACACAAGCTAGCGTGCTTCGGCACCAATCAGTGGGGCCGATGGGGTCCCTGATGGGACCGATGGCAGGCCTCGGCGGCGGCAGCGGCGCCGCCGTCGCAGCCGCCGCTGCCGCGGCGGGGCCGGCTGTGCCGCGCACGACCAGTGGCGGCGTGTCGGCCAGCGGCAACAGCGGCAGGCAGAGCAGCGCCGGCGAGCGCAGCGCCCGCCAGTCCAGCCTTGTACGGCAAAGCAGCAGTACGCACTCCTGGGGTGACTACGGCACCACCACCGGCGGCGGTGCGGCAACTGCTGCTGCCGTCGCGCAAGTCCTCGGCGGCGCCACCAGCGGCGGCGCATCACCGTCGCGCGCCAATACTGGCACTGGTACTAGTCTGCGGGTGCTGGGGCATGCCGGGCCTGGCGGTGCCAGCGTGGCGGCGGCGGCGGCGGCGGCGGCCGCCGCCGCTGCCGCCGCCGGCAGCCACGCGCCAAGCGCTTTGGCGTCGCCTATGCTGGCACACGTCACCGGCGCCGGTAGCCAGGCCAGCTCGATAGCGGCGTCCGGCGGAGCGGTAAGGCATGTCTGTCAGGGATTTTCAACGGCATCAACTGTCACCCTTTTCCTTTTTTGTTAGTTATTACCGTTTCCGCTTGCGAATACGAAGGAGCGCTAATCAAGCTGCCCTTTTGGCGTCCTTCTTTTGATGCTTTTTTTATACTGCCCCAAACACCCGTATCGGCATTCCCTTTGATTCCCTTTGATTGGCTTTCGTCCCAGTTGTTCAACGGTAAAGGGCTCTTCTTATTTGCTTCTCCCTTATCACCCAAGCACTACACTGGTGCTCAAGGTGTCACTTACACTTGCAGTTATCTTTTTCAACCAAGCCAATACTAGAGATGGGTTTTACCAAGGCCAGGGATAGCCAAATCCCTGTCCATGCAAGCTCCGACACCTCTAATTCCTTTCAAACCTCCAATCCTTCGTGTAAATGTTTTCCTCCTAAAATCCCCCGTCGTCATATCCCACCCCTTGCCATTCCGGACATGGTAGGTGCTGCTGCGACCTGCGGGGCGGGTCCTCGGTCCTTTCCAAAGTGCCCTTGGCCCTCACATTACCCCCCCCCCCTCAACGCAACTCATTTACACTTGTTGCTCCTGCGCTTTTCGCCACGCAGCAACGAATGGTTTCGGAGAGCACTCCCAGCAGCACGCTGGGCGGCTGGACGGCACGTGACGATGTGCCGCCGCAGGGCGAGGCGGCATATGCGCTGACGGGCCGTGCCGGTACACTGCTGTACATGGCGCCGGAGGGTAAGCTGCTGTAGAGGAATTTAGCGATGGTGTGATGTGTGCGGGAACCAAGGTGAACAAGACAAGAGTTATGAAAGTGGTGAAGTGGTAGAAGGGAAGCCATGAAAGGAAGGGGAGTGGAGGATGGAAGTGATACGTGTAATCCCCCCCGACCGTCTTCCCAACCTCGTAAGTCCGGTCACTTTTCCCGAATTGCTGCGAAGCACGTACACTTGCACATGTCCTTAACGGCGTTGACGTTCGAGTCCTGGCAGGATCAGATTTTTGTTTTTGTTTTAATCACCCCTCAGATGTTTTCGCCCCCTCCTAAAACCACAACCCCTTTCTGGCCCCTTCATCCGCTCCGCCGCAGTCATTCGCCACGAGCCGTACAACGAAAAGGTGGACGTCTTCAGCTTCGGTGTCGTACTGTATGAGGTGTTTGGCCGCGTACTGCTGCTTGAGTTGTACAGCAAGGACGAGCTTGAGGCCCTCAGCAGCCGCATTGCGCAGGGCTTTCGGCACAGCCGTCCCGATTGCATGCCGCAAAACATATGGGACCTGGTGCAACAGTGCTGGGCGCAGGTGCGTGTTTGTGCTTTGTGAGGGGGGGGGCCGCGGGAGGGGTCTTTAGTGAGTGTGGGTAAGGGTTTCTGCACGGTGTGTGTGCATGCGGTGTGTGTACGTGTATGTGTACGTGTGACAGTGTATAATCCGCGCCCGGACCCTTAACACTCCCAACAGCCGCGGTCTCCTCTCTATATACACATTATATACATCATATATGCACATTATATACATCTATACATACATATATATGCATAGGTTAGGCACTACTGGTAACGCGCGACCATTGCCCCTGGGAGAACCCGGGATGGAGACCTGCCAGGGCCAAAAATCCTTCCGATGGTGGAAGGTATTGCGCCCCTAGTTTATGAACGATGGTGACCTGGGATAAAGTTAACCTGCGAGCCGACCAGGAATGGAGTTGGGCCGCTGTCGACCCCCGGCAGATTACGTTGGATGCTGGTGGTGGGTGTGGAACCTGAGCGATCCACTGAGAAGTTGGCTAGGGTGACTGGATGAGGGTGCCCCGAAATACCGGGGAAGACAGGGTTTCGCAGGGTAGGGGCCACGGGTGAAGATATACCCCCCTGTTTCACACATACATACATACATATGTCCTTGTCTCTCGTTGACATCATCGTTGACCCTCCCCCACGCAGAATCCTGCCGACCGGCCCACCATGCCGCTTCTTGTACGGCAAATGGAACTAGCATTTGAGGCCATGGACGAGGCCGAGGCCGCGGCTGCCGTCACGCATTCGGGCACCCACCGGGCCGGGTCGCTGTTTGGCGACGGCGGCGCGGGCGGCGGCAGCGGCCCCGGTCTGCCGACGGGGTCTGCCATGGTGACGGGCGGCGGCGCCGGTCCCGGCAGCGCAGGCACCACTACCGGCAAGGACCGGAGCAGTTGCCGCAGCGGGGCCAGCTACAAGAGCCTTCTATCTCTGGGGTGCGGGGACTCAGGGGGCTCTCAGGGTTTTGCGTCCCGTGCGGCAGGGCGGCGGAGGGAGGGGGAAAAGGGAGAAAGCAACGAACCATATCTACATATCAACATGTTTTTGCTATACGATGTGATTGAATAGACAGACCATTGCCGACATCGAGAAGCACCGAAACCGGAAACAAACGGGGCGGGTTGGAGGGCTGTCCGAGGAGGGTAGACCGCTGCGTGAAGAAGGGAAAAGCCGAAAAATAGTTTCATCTCCTGTTGCCATCTACTGAACCGTATGATGTAATCCATCCAAGTCCTCGGCGGCGGCTCTGAATTGATGAACTGATGGACATCTGTTTTGCGTCCATGCGTTTCGTTGAAGCACCCCTAGGTGTGCCGACCCCCACAAGGTGTTATTAGCCGGCCCTCTCTTCGCTGCATGTGCCGCATGTTGTCGAAATGCCCTTTCGCCACAAATCCCAGCTGGATCCGTCGTTTCTATTTGGTTTTTAATTACCTCGTTAGGGACATTTACATCGTAATCTGAAGAGTCGTGTCGTAAAGTCTTGAGGACCTCCTCTCGGCTGTGCACCCCAACCCGCCCGTTTCAGCTTCCCCGCCCTTCCCCATGCGCTCTCCTAATGCAGCTAATTTCCGCCATCCAATTACCAAAAATACCAACTTAGTTGAAACTCCGTTCTTCTTTCCCATGCAGGGGCTCTCTGGGACGCCGCTCCAAAGGCCTTTCCTTCAGGCGGCGAGGCGGCGCACTGCCGCGAAGTCCGCAACAGCCCACCGCGCCTACTCCTGGTCGGCCGCCGCCTGTACCCGTTAATCCCTCGTCCGCACAAGCGCACCTCATCGGTGGTGGGGGCGGGGGCGGTGCGGCAGGCGCCGGAATGCTAGAGCTGCATCCCCGTCCGCCCAGCTGCGGCAGCGGTCTGCACTCCCCGGGGTCCCGTGGGTCCGCGGCGGCGGCGGCGACTGCCGCTGCTCCCGGCACCGGCAGCGGCGGCAGCCAGGGTCTGGATGACTCGTTCGGTTCTGGATCCCGGTGTGCGCCATCATGCGGATGCGTGATATGTTGAGGTGTCACATGGGTCGGCGAGCAGGCAGGTCGGACCTACGGATCATGGCCCACGGGTCGGCCGTCTGTCTCTTGGATGTCACACTGTCTATCCAGTTGCGTTCGCCATTTTAGCACCAAAATCGCCTATTCTTTCATTTTGCCTCTGTCCAGCATGTATGGGGCCTCTGTCCCGGGCCTCTGTGGACGGTTGGGACCCACGGGTCGGTCACCTCCCCAGCTGATGTCCCCGGACCAAATACGTTGTCCTTCGAGGCGCCACAGGGTTTTGCGCAACGATGGCAACGGCGGAGTGGCCCCTCAAAACTGCGGCAGAATGTGGCTCTCCTGTGCGTCTCTTCATGCCGTTCTCACGCATGCGCTGGTTTAACCCGGTGGTACTGTGACATGAGCCAATGCCATTGGCAATGGCATTGGCTTATGTCGCACACAAGATGGCACACAAGATGCCGGACGGTGCGGGTAGAGGGTCACTTCATAGGGGTTTTCTCCGCATCCATCCTTTGGAATTATCATTCTCCTCCTTTGCTCGACCAACACTACTCGTTCGGGTAGCGGCCTCTGCAATAGGGACACGCGAGCACAGACGCACCTGCCATTGTTTCATCTGTTCCCGTGGCCTTTACGAAACAGACAGACAGACATACAGAGACACACACACATGCGTGCGTGCGTGCGTGCGTGGGCACGCAAGGGCTTACATTTATGTCTCTCTGAGCGACTATTAGATGCACACCATTCGCGCCTTGAAGGCAGCACACCTACCGCTCTGTTTCGCGCGCACGGACGCAAAAGCCAGCACGGTTGTGGTTGCCGACATGGGGAACGGATGTTAGTAACAGCGTCTTAATGGATGTGGGCTTGATTTAACTGATTTGACTGGGCGAGCAGGTGGGTGTGAGGAAGGGCGCGTGGCTGGGGAGGAGAACTTGCGTAAGAGAACATGAAGCGATGAATTTGGAAAAGAGGATAAGGGGGAAATGAAGTATGTATGTATGGTTGCATATTCTTGGGTGGATGATCGTGCTGTTGTGTCCACGTGTCCACGTAACATCCATGCCATGGTAGCACGTCTCTTCACTTAAAATTGCACTTGCATACAAAAAGTACGGTGTGCATGAAACTATGGATGCGTGTATTTTGGGGGAGGGGGCGTGTGTGTGTGGGGGGGGGCCCTACTGCCTGGCTGGCGCGGGTGGGTCTGGTGGGTCGGGCCTAATGGAAGGACGGGGGAAGTCCTTCCACGTTCCTTCAGACGGCGGACTGTTCAACTAACTAATAAACACACACGAACACTTGCCTTGGCTTGCCTTGGTGAGGTCGCCTAGTTCACCTCCTCGGTACTTACCTTACCAGTGGGCTTTACTGGCGCATTTACAATGACCTTCAGCGATGAGTTATTACGGCATTCGTCATGACGAGCACACACACATGCACCAACTCAGACGTGCGCATGCGTGGCGAATAAATCGAGCGGTATTGTGCATAGCGTCACAAGATCTTTCCTTGCCATCAGCTTGGCTGTCGGTTTACGGAGGTCTTCCTGGAGTGGTATTCTTCCTCGTTGAACCGCCAGGTCATTATTAATGCATCGTCCTTATCCAGGCGCGCGGAATCGGGCATGCGGGGGGCAGGGCGCGGGGCAGGGTTGCGGCTGCAGGTGGAAGGGTTCTGGAGCTGCCGTATTCCTCGCCTAACCTGCCTTAAGGCAAGGAGCTCAGGCGCCTCATGCGGCCACTACGGCCTATCGGTAATTTGACCTGTGTGTGATGGATTTCAAGGAGGTTTAAGGATGTGTGAAGTATAAGGAGGCGCACCACATCCAAAAGAATGTCCAGAACCAGAGCACGGGGGACTCTTGGGCAGGATTGTACCTGCTCTTGGGCAGGTACAATGTGCCGCGTGTTGTCTTTTGGCAATGTCTCGGGGTGGTTAAACCTTATTCCTTAAAAGCTTCATGGTGCTTTCGGTCGTCCGCCGTTGTACGTCGTAAGTTGTACGTTGTACGTGACATTGACATGTCAAGTTGATGTGGCTTCGCCGCTGTTGTTTCTGATCCTCGCCTCGAGGGACTTGAGGAACGTGTCGGACTTGTCGATCTCGTTGATTTACGTGAGGGTCCGTCGCCACCGTGTCGTTGCATCGTTTTGAAGGTGCCATTTTGGGCACATGTAGCCGGGAAGAGGCTTCCGGAAAGGCTGTGCTGCTCCGTGCCGGGTGATTCTGGTGTGGTGATGCAGTACAGAGCTCCGGTGCGCGCTTCCACCCATATCAAAGCTGTGTGGGCGGCCCGCGATGGAGGCGGCTGTGGCTGCGCCTGCGACCGACACATCGGGATGCCGGGGAATGCTGGGGAATGTCTCACCTTGCCTTTGGTGCGATGAGTACTACTGAACCTGATGGGATGGGTGGGAAGCTTTCTGTATCAGTCAGTCAGTCAGTCAGTCGGTCAGTCGGCCGCATGTCTCCTTTTGTGAAGCTGCTGTTAGAGCAATGGAGTATGAGTGTACGGCGACCATGGTCGTTGAAAGTCGGTTGGGTCATGTGCCATGTACCGGTCCATCCGCAGGTCACTCATAAGGTACATTGCCAGATAGACGATGTGTGTGCAGTTCAGTTGGAAGACGATGGATAGATGTCACAGTAAGACCAGAGGCGAAGATTGCCTTCGGCTCGGTTTAGACGACCCTTAGTCCGTCTGGCCATCCATTTCCCGCCAACGGTGCAGCAGGTTTGCCAAGGAGAAGCATCGCTCTCTTAATCGGTCTGCGCACAGAGTTTTGGACGTCGCTGCGGAAGCCTGTCGCGGACGTTGCTTCCTGAGTCTTCCTTGTCCTGGGCTTTCCCCAGGGTGCAGCCTTCCTGGTCGATCATCGAACCCGCGCGCATCATGATGATGATGCGAGTGGGGGGAAGGACTGCCCAGGTACCGTAGCCCGCTTGCTCCTTCCTCTCCCTCTCCCCCTCTCTCACTCTCCCCTGAACGCAGTGGTTGGCCGGATGAATGCGCGGAAGGGGTTTGCTAAGGCACGACGGATCGCTTCACCTCTCGGCTTTTTCGCATCTCACCTTCCCCAAAACATGGTCGGAACTGGGCTACTGTAGCTGCGTAAACTGTCTTTGCTTCGCTCTGCGTCGCCGTTTGCCGTTCGCGCCTTCGGCTAATAGCCCTACACGGCACGCCTCACCAGGTTTTTAGCGTTGCCGTCCGGGCATACCACTTGGGCATTTCTAACGCACCGAAGGGGTCATGTGACCGCGGATGTCCTAGGTCTTGTTCTTGATATACATCCACTGCATGATACGTTAGGACGGGAGATTTGGAGTTGGTGGCACTCCTGTGCTTGTTGCATTTATCACACTGCTGACAGGCTAGGGTAGGAGGTGTACTTAGGCCTGCTGGTTCTGTCAGTTGTATACATGGGGAAATCTTGTGGGGGCTGCCGCCACTTTAATCAAGGCTTTTCAAAACCATCAGCTCGTTATCGGTTGTTGTTGAGCGCCTTACAGACGCTGTGCTAGTTTGAACCTGTAATTACAATGCTATGAACAATGTAATTACAATGCTCTGCCACGCGCCCAACTTTGCGCATTAGGATTTGGTTTGGTTCGATGCGTTTTTCCACGTGGCATAGCCAGGAAGCGCACAGCACGGTGTAGCAGGAGTTGGGGACGTTGGGGGAGAGGGCTTAGCGCCAAATGCGGCCGTGTAGAGCACTTAGAGCAAAAAAATCCGGATTGATGGATGAGTCCATGAGTGTATGTACGGATGTACGGATGCGTGGGCGTTCCGTTGGCGATGTGGGAATGTGGGAATGTGGTCGCGATGCTAACACTTTTTCCGGGAGGCCGAGGAGGAGCATAGGAGAAAAACTGAAGTAACGCACTGTGTGGTGCTTTAGGGTTGTGGTACTTGGGGGGTGCTGTTGTGAGGGTTAGGAAGTAACCAATCTTGGACCCAGACGAGGAGGACGAGACGGACGAGAAGGACGAGACGGACGAGAAGGATGAGACGGACGAGAAGGACGAGACGGACGAGAAGGACGAGACGGACGAGAAGGACGAGACGGACGAGAAGGATGCCCCATTTAATAATACAGAGCCACTGACGACACCACGGGGGTGGGAAGAGGAGCTTCCAGGGAGAGAGGTAGATAGGTAGGTGGGTTCTAGGAGCTAGAGAGGACAGAAAGCAACAATACCGAGAAGCTACCTGGAGGTGGAGATAGCGGGCACAGAAACGCCACCCTTCGATTGCTGTCTTGGAGACGTGCGAAGAGCGGGGGGGAGGTTTCCCCTTCAAGCGGATTGTGTCGTTGTTGGTGCTGATGCGATTTTTGACGGGGTCTAAGGTTGTCTCGGAAGGGCCTCCTCCCTTTTCTGTCTGCCATGAAGGGAACTGCGGAGGGGGGTTTGGGTGATCGTGTCGCTCCCTGGAGCTAGGAGCTAGGAGGGGGCAATCGACTGCCAAGGGCCTGCAGGGGATTGGGTGCGCGGGGTTGCCCATTTTTAGCCCTGTGGCATCGAGCTTACGCGTACTTTCCGGGTTTACCGGGTTTTAAGATTTGATCATCTGCGGCTGTTTGGGTTTCAAGACGCGGGGGTGGCGCTAGCGGGGGGCTGTTACCCCTCCCTGGAGGGTTTCCCCCTCGTTCATTCTCTCCCAAGTCGGCATAAAAGATGTCAGCTCTGAAGACGCGAAGAATCAGAGTGTGGCGTGATTTCATTTGTGAAATAATAAGAAACTTTCGTTCTTGGTTCGCTCGAATGTATTGGACTGTTCCAGTGCGGTGCATCGAAATATCGGAACGTAATGCAGCGAATGGCAGGACAGCGCGGGCGCGGGCGCGGGCCGGGCCGGGCCGGGGCGGTCGCCCTTGCCCCTTAGGAGCGACGCGGGCCCGACGCTTCTGGAGAGCTGATGACCATCCTTTCCATAATTGTTTGCTCCCAGAGCCCGACAACAGCACGGCTCCTGGACCGCACGCAACTTCAGGAGAGGGTTTGTACTCGCCCTAAGGAGGAAATTGGACCAGATACGTGACATGATCCTCATGACACTGGTAAAAGATTGCAGTACTGTTGCTCACATTACCGTGCAGTTACCGGTTCATCATTCGGCTTTTCAACAGGCTGACATACGGACGACTTGGCCCGGCGGCACTAACTTGGGGGGGGGCCCAGAGTACGGGCTACCCAAAGCGAGGGCAAGCGGATAGCCTCGCCAAGAAGCACACCGGTGCCTAAGTCCTAAAAGACAGTATTGCTCATATGCGATTACCATAGCGCGATTACCATACCCCCCTAACCATGTAACACACACACATATGCGATTACCATAGCGCGATTACCATACCCCCCAACCATGTAACACACACACACATATGCGATTACCATAGCGCGATTACCATACCCCCCAACCATGTGACACACACATATGCGATTACCAGAGCGCGGTTCCGACGGGTGAAGGCCACACACGCGGTTGATAACACTCCACCAGAAGGACAAAAGGACCGTCAGGTGGAAGGTTCGGTTCCCAGGAAAGCCCCCAACAACACGGCCAGCAGCAGCCGGGGGAGGGGAGACACGGCGCACCCGGGGATGAACACGACACCAGCGCTGGTGTGGACGACAGACAAGCACGCATGCGCCCCGCCGATGCGCGAGGAGGTCAGAGCCTTTCAAACGCAATGCATTTCATTCTAGGTCGGAATTATATCCACGTTCGGAAGCTCGTGATGGAGATGCATGATGGGCGGTAGAACCTTTTGGAATCCAGGTAAGGGTGTGCAAGGTGTCGGGCCTGCCGCGGCACGTGCTGGATTTCGTCGTGTTTGACCCCCAACAAAGCAAGAAGCTTGTGGGGGTACATTGGCGCGCCAGCAGGGGTGGTAGCCGCCGCAGCACTTTAGTAAATCCCTTCGATTGCAGGCACCATCTATATAACGGACTATATATATCACATGCCTACCTAATTTACCGATTCAACAGGGTTGGTCTGTTGTATGCTGTGCGAGGAAGCCTATCGTGAAATAACGAACGTAAGGCTCCTATCGTCCCTTCCTCGGCAATGTTAGAAGCGAGGTGAGGCGTCCTTTTCCACGTGTTCCTGTGATCGCAATATGACATGCTTTCCAGGATTTGGACTACACGGCTGCCGTGGCGTGGACGTGGACGTGGTCGTGGCGTAGTGAGACGGTTAGTGCCCTACCTCCAAGCCTCGCGAAGCGCTAAGGGAACTGGACGCTTGAAGGGTGCGGCTGTTGTGCCGAACGTTTTCGTGCCAGTACCTTAATCCTAAGCCCTAAAACCCTAAGTTTTTGAGCCAGTAAGCACACAAGTGAGGACTTGCACACGCGCTCCAAAACCACCTCTGCCCATCATTACATGCCACCAGGCAGTCTTACGGCCGCCGCATCGCCATCTTACGAAGCCGTGCCAGACTGGCTTGCCGTACCCACGGCGGAAGCTGCCGAAGCACTCCAGGGAAACCCCACAGCCAGCGCAGCTCGTCCACCACGTCATGCGCCCACCAAAGTCGCATCTCCGAAACCGCTGCCGCAAGCGCGGGATGGTCCCGTGGGTCAGTTAGCTCAATCGGCAGAGGAAGCTGGAATGGCTCGTCTTCCATATTGGCATCATTGGCGTCATCATCGCTGACGTCACCACTCGTATCATCCGACACACCATGTCGTGCTGATAAGATGCCGCGTCTGGATCCGTCACTGCTGCCGCCTAACAGGCCGTACGGATCCACAGGATCGGGGCCTCGCATCCTAGGATCAAACACGTACGGAGATGACGCAGATGGCGCCTTCAGCTGCTGCTGCTGGGTGACCGAGTCACCTGCGACTGCCGAGGCGCGGCCGCCGCTGCCGGTCCTGCTACCCGCAAAGCCGGTGGCGAGGCCGCCGCTCAACTCCTCCTCCTCCGCTGCCCCGTCGTCGTACATTTCCCGAAGAAGCTGCTCGTAATAGTCGTCATCCGCCTCCGCCTCCTCCGTCACATCCTCCTGACCCTCCAAGGACAGATCCGCGGGTAGCTCCCACACCGAAGCATCCCCACCCCAGCCCCCTTCACTGTCCCACGGGTCACTCTCTCCTAGCAAGCCCTCCGCAGGAAACTCCGGCCCCAATACCTCCTCCTCTTCCCCTACCGCCTCTTCCGCTTCTCCTGCCATCATCCCGCCCGCCAATACCCGTCCCGCCGCCGCCTCCGTCAACCCATCCACAACCTCCGTCGGCACGCCATAATCGCCGTACAGATTCGCGTTGTACATTAATGACGACCAGAGCGAGCTGTCAATCGCGCTGCGCCGCCGCCGTGGCCCTCCGCCGCCGCCGCCACCATCGGCGATACCGGCGACGCGGACGTGGAGGCCCCCAGGTGTCGCCGCAGCGGTGGCGGCGGCGCCACGGAGTCGCAGCGGCGAAGGGCCCAGGCAGCCGCCAGCGGCGGCACGGAGCGCCGCCGGGATTAGCGCCGCTGCCGGCGGTCTAGGCACCCGTAGCCTCAGCGCCTTGGCCAGCTGACGTTGCCACTGCAAGGGCGGCTCCTGGCGGCCCCGCCGTGCCGTCACCGCCGTTGCGTTGAGGACATGGGAAAGGGTGCATCATCATCATCACCATTATGTTAGGCAGCGCACAAATACAATCTCACGAGAATATTCTCTTTTAAGGAAATTTTTTAATCGTTCACAAACTCAGTCAGTTGGGTTTATTAGGTTATGGAAAAAATTGAGGTAAAAAATTGGAAATTTCCTCCGTTGTGATGATTTTGCGCCATCCGAGCCCGTTTTGAAAATTGACGTCGTCGTCGTCGTCCGTGTTGCGAAACAGAAGGGCACAAAAGCGCTATTTGGGGCGGACATGGCAGCACAATCCAGAGCGGCACATACAGACAGACAGACAGCCATACATGCAAAAACCGCAAAAAAGGACATACATGTCAAAAGGAAAACTCCTCCGTCGATCACAGAGCCTTGCAGAAGGTGCCATCCCGTCATACCTCCCGTACCCAACCCACTTCGCCGCTTACCAGATCCGGCGGCATCATATCCGCTACGGCGCAGTACAGCAGTACGACGCTGCGTGCCGAACAAGTGTCCCATTTAACGCCCGTTTCCCTGTCCAAGCGGTCCAAGCCGCCCAGCAGCCAAAACACAGCAGAGGGGTTGAGGCAGCACGTTAACCGGATTGGGAGCTGATAGATCCAGCGGTTTTTTTTACTGGATCCAGAATTGGTGGATCTGGATCTGGAACTGGACGAAAACAGTGCCGATCTTCCCACCCTGGAGCCCCTCCTCCTCCTCCGCCCACCTGAACACGGCATCCCAGAATCGCTTGCTGTCCGTACTCCAGCCGTACTGAGATAAGCCCCACAGAAACAGCCCCAGAGCCTCCCCGCTCATCCCCGCCATGCGCCGATAGCCGCCGGCGGCCAGCTCCTTTCGAAGATCCGAGGTTCGGGTGGTTAGGGTAGTTAGTTGGTTAGGGTTGTTACGGTGGTTAGCGTAGAGCACAGCGAAAATCAAGCAAGTCGTTTTAAAGAGGAGGCCGGTTTCGAAGGAGAAAAGAAGACATTAGCAAGGGGAATAGGGAGGTACGGAGACGGTTTGTTCCATTTGTGTGTTTTTATTGGATCTCTGCGGAAAGGCCCCGCGCCTTTGGCCGTACTTCACTCCACTCCTACCTTGACCCAGGGCTCCTGTAGCGGCCACCCCAGCACGGCAAAGCCGTACGCAATGAGGCCATGGTCTTCGTTGACAGTGGTTTCGGCGCCAAGACGCCTCCGTACCTCCGCTGCGAATAACGTCATCCAGGCATCCGAGGGCCTGTGGCGGCGGCGGCGGCGGCGGGGGAGGTGATTTTTATTTTTTCAAGCTGCTGCGAACCTGTGGAGGTGCACATGTGCACATGTAAATAAATATAAAACAGCTGCTGCCCGAGAAGTTTGTCCGTACATACCTGTACTGCAGATCTGCTAGTGCAGAGATTGTCGTAGTCAGGTTTGCAGTACTGGTGCTGCGAAGCAGGGTGCTCATGCGCGCGAGCAACGCCCCCATCGCCGTGTCCACCACCACCGACCCCCCCTCTTGCGCAGCGGCCTCGCCACCACCGCCGCCGCCGCCGTTGCCGTCACCACCGCTGTCGCCACCGCTTCTGCCGTACCACGGCGACTCCTCGTGGAATGGACCCATGAGTGTCCGCAGCTGCGCGGCAGCCCAGAGCGACTGCGCCACGCAGGTGGCGTCGAAGGTGGATGTGACCCGTGGGTCTGCCGCAGCCCGCCACCACGCCGCCATCCACGCTCCACTCGGCGGCCGGCGCAGTACGGCCAGCGCCCACAGCGACATACTTAGATCGTTGCCGTCGGCGGTTCTGGAGCGCATTCCGTGCAGGACCTAACGATTCGTATGCATAGTAAAAATATTTTGCATAGTGCAAAATTTAGGTAAAGAAGTGCACAACTCGAAAATCCACTTTTTGAGAACTGAGAAAAAAATAACTTCCCGCCAAAAAAACACAACCATCAATTTCGAGCCATCAAGTTGAAGCGCACACAGCAGCAACCAACAGCAACCAACAGCAAATGAACAACTAACCGTACCTGGGACAGAATAGCTTCGACTAGAGGCTGTGGCAGAGTCCCGAGCCCAACGCCGGTCGCAGCAGCTGCAGCGCCTGCTGCGGCTTGCTGCAGCTGTGGCTGCTGTGGCTGCTGCTGCGTTGTGCTCCGTGCCCAAGCCCAAAGCAACCGACTCGCTTGCACGGGTGTGAGGCTGGCGGTGTGAGGTCGGACGGCCCGTGCCAGTGCGTGGAGAAACGTCTCTCCGGGGCGCCATCTGGCCGCGCAGGCAGGTGGGCGGACGGGCGGACGGCAGTAAGGTGCGGTAGGTTAGATGGTCCGTGGTTAGATGGATTCACGCAATTTGGGGAAGGACTTTGTACGGCTGTCCGTACAGCACGCGCGCGCCAGGCTAAGACAAACTCAACGACAAATGAAATATCACCGCTATTGTCAATTTACGTGGGAAAAATCAGAACAGACAGAAAACAAAAAACAGCAATCAGAGCAAAGGTCGCGCGGTGTGCAGGTGTGCGCGCGGGATACGTTCGGATTGGGAGGGGAGGGGCTTGCAGGAGGGGCTGCAGCGCAGCGCACCACAGCACAGCGCACCTTTCAAACGAGGCCGCGTAATACGCTAGAGCCGCCAGCTGCTCCGCGTCCATCAGAGACATGAGCCGGACCGCGGCCGCGTGAAGCCCCGAGCCCACCTCCGGACGTGGAGCGTAACCCAGCCTCGCCAGAGAGCCGTACACCGACAGCAGCTGGGCTGGACTTAGGTCTCGGAGCCGGTTGTGCAGCTGCAGAAGACACAAACAGACAGACAGACAGATATACAGACATTGCGGTGCATTGGCACCCAGGTTTCTCTTCCTCGGCAGCAAGCTCTATGAGGAGTAGGGGTTACATCAATTTGAGGTTCGGGAGATGAGGACAGTGCTCCAGGAAGGCCCCCCTTTACCCCACTACTCCTCGGACAAAACACACACCCGTAGGCAAGGACATCCCCACGCTCACCTTCCACCATCCAAACCACCCGTCGACACCCACACCACACCCACCTCCCCACACCACACCCACCTCCCCACACCACACCCACCTCCCCACACCACACCCACCTCCCACCTCCCCACACCACACCCACCTCCCCACACCACACCCACCTCCCACCTCCCCACCACACCCACCTCTCCACCACACCCACCTCCCACCTCCCCACCCAACCCACCTGCCCGGCCAGCGCTCGCAGCCATGCCCTGTCAGGTACGTAGTCCAGCGCCGCCAGGGCCCAGGCAATACGGCACAGACCCTGATGAGGTACGACACGCGGGGGGCCACAGAACGTCACAGAACGTCTCTCCGGAATGTCACCAGAGTCGGGTGCGGGTGCGGGTGCGGGTGCAGGTCGGGCCGGTGATGGCAGCGACGCCGAGGGCAGGCGGGTTTCTCTCTGAGTGGAATGCTCAGATGCACTGCACCGCACCAGACGGAGACAGAAACGTCGTGGAGACTGGGGAGGAGCTCGCATGTCCCACATGGTTGAGGGGGGAGAGGGAGGGGGTCATGGAACAAGTAAGATGACCGATAACCGCTAAAAGACATGCACTGTCCCGTACTCCCGTACTGCCGTACTCCCGTACTGGCGTACCCCTCGAGCTCCATTCAGCCTTCTAACCACTACAGAACATCCACATACCCGCACCCCGTCCCCGCACAGCCCTCCTGTTAACCCGACCTCCGGCTCGAAGTCGCGCATGCGGCCCCTCACGCGCTCCAGAACCAGCCGCATCCAGTCCTAAGGGACAGGTTCCGGAGCGGAGTGATGGGTGGCGGAAGGGGAGGGGGGGGAGGGGGGCCCTGACGAAAGGGTAGGCGCCTCCAGGGGTCTCCTGACGGACGTGTAGCTCCCCCGAGGGGTTGGTTTTCGTGAACTGAAGGCGGAGCGGAGAAGGCAGTAGTGATGAGGACGTGGCATTGGGGTCACTGCAGTAGCAGCAACTACCAACAACCACATAGTCGGCTATAATAGCGGAACCGCTGTGCTAGGGGTTGCGGGCTGGTGGTTGCCCTGTTCACTGTGCAAGCTAGCGTCGCAAAAAGCGAGTATGGCAGTCTGTCCGACTGTCGTACCTGTGGAGGAAGGTACGACAGGCGAGCCAGAGACCACAGAAGCTGCCACATTTCCGTCGGGCCGCATTCCCCTAGCAGATCCAGGCTGGCGTCGCATAAGGCCCTCAACCAAGGCTTGTCCGGCAGCGGCAGCGGAGGCGCTGTAGCGGCGGCGGCGGCGGCTGCTACTCTGACGGGAGCTTCCGCGCCGCTGCTGCCCCCGTACGCCGTCGCGACGCCCCATGCAAGACTCGCCAGGTCTGACGGTGTCCAGGGTTTAGGCGCCGGCGGCGGCGGTGCTGCCGCCGCCGCCGCCGCCGCCATCTTTGCCCTGCGATCACGGCGTTGTCGCTTCTGAACATCTGCCGGCGGCGGCGGTGGCGGCGCCACTGTAGTGGCAACAGGAGCAGCGTCGCCGCGGGTGGGGGCGGCGGCGGCGGCGGCTGCAGTTGCAGCCATCTCCGCAAACACGCCGCGGGTCCGTACGGGTCCCTGGACCCCGCCGGCGCTAGCCAGCGCCGCGGCAGCGGCAGCGGTGGCGGCGGCAGCAGCGGTCCGGCGGGCAGCCAGCGTGCGCAGATGCTCTCCTGACGTACGTATCACTATGTCGTACAGCTTCCGAGATCTGATTTGGAGCATGCCCATGCCGTACGCGATCTGCGGATGGGCAGCCAGGAACAGGTTTGGCAAATCGGAAATGTGTTCCAGATCCTGACGCACGTACGACAATACTGCAACATATCTATACCTTTGCATCTCAAAAAGTAAGGCAGCTCCCGTACATTCAGTTTCCTTAATCGTCCTTCACCTGCGTGGCTCACCGCCGTGGCTTTTCCCGGCCCGGTGCGATTTCTGTTAAATCCCACCACACACACCATATTCGTCCTAGGGGGTTTTCCAACGAAATTGACACACCATTTGTCCTCACCAAACCCATCCAACCAAACCTGCGCAACGTCGTAACCGCCGTAACCGACGCTAACCGCATCAGCACCGCCGCTGCCGCTCCCCGCCACCCTGCCGTCATCAACGCGGTCGTCAGGCCATGTACGGCGCGTCAGCGCCGCCACTGCCGCGGCGGTCAGCCGGCTGCAAAAAGTGCTGTACGCCGCCGCTTCAGCGGGGCCAAACGTCGCCGGGGCCGCCGTCATGGCACCGCCCCCCTGCCCCCCCCATCCTGCTCCTCCCCCAACCACTGCACCACCGCCATCCAATGCGGCGCCTTCCACAGCGGCAGCAGCTTCCGACAGCTCCCGACCCGCAGGACCGCCGCCGCCGCCGCCGCCGCCGCCGCCACCGGGGACATCCGCCAATAAACCTACAGACGCACATTGTCAGACGGAGGGAGCGCGGGTTCGCTCTCATTCCCCGGCTCTCGCGCTCTATCCTTTGTGGCCGCGCGAGTGGCGAGTGGTGGTGGGCGGCAGGTGGGTGGTGGATGTATCGCAGAGAACACCGAGGAGGTTCACCAGCGCGTGCACGCGCTCCGAAACCGGTCTGAGAGAGCCAAGAGCGGGGAAACGATCTGGGAAAGGCAAGGCAGCCAAGCGCCTGGGTGCTGCCGCGGCATGTGATGACGATCCCAGAATTTACACATACACATATATACACACATACATATACATATACATATATACACACACATACACACAAAACACACACACACACATACACACACACGACCCACGTACCCGCGGCCCTTTTGAAGAGTGCGGCCACAATCCCCGAATCCAGCTGACCCCCGGGGGAGGCCTCCGCAGCCGCCTCAAGCAAGGTTCGCAGCTGCAGCCAGTCGCTCGCGGAGAGGACCTGACGGGAAATATACGGCGGAGCAACACTCGGCAGGGCGTACATACAGACATCTCTCCCCGTACAGCATACCACCGTACCACTCCGTACACCATTCTACGCTTCATAGCATATGTAGCCATAGCGTCGTGCATCCGGCGGGACAACGCCGCTCGTCTTTTTCAGCTCTTCCACTTCCTTATCACAAAAAAACATTACATCGCTAGATATGTGTGTGGATCTCGGCTATGAACGGCGCGCGCGTGTGTCCGCTGACCCGCTTATTTCGTCTGGCGCCCTCGGCTGGGCCCCCCTCAGGGTTACAGGTATGTACGGCCCCTCGCTACATCTCGGGCGGGTAGTAACGCACCTCCAGGTGGTGTAAAACACATGATACAAACATACATACATACACGGCTTTGACGGAACCCCCCCACTCGTGCGGCACTTGTAACTTGTAACTTGTATACATACAGGCAGGCGGCTGGCAGAGGTTAAGGCCTGACTTCTGCTCCCAGCCGACCCGGGTTCAAATCCGCCTGCCGACCTCTCGGGTATTTGAGGAGAATTGAAATGGGAGGTGGCCCCCCATCTTATGGACGATGTAGGACGTGATAAAATCAACTTGCGAGCTAACCAGGAACTAAGTTGATGCGCCGTTGATCCGCTAGAATTGGTTGGATGCTGGTGGTGAGTTGCCGAACCCAACAAATACAATCTGAAGATTAGGGTGCCCCTCTAGCAGGGGAGAGCAGGGACTGCCCGGGGAAGGGGCCGCTGGCACCCTGTAACAACATACATACATACACACATACATACACACAATACCTCGTCAATGACTGCCCGACGGAGCTCCTCCGTGCGCCGGACTTCATCGCCAGTGGCGATTGGTGAGGAGGCTGAATCGCCCAGTACTCGTTGAGGCGGCGGCGACGGCGCCGGCGATGGTGGATTTCCTTCACCGCTGCTGCGATGGCGGCTCCGTCGGAGCTGTCCGGCCGCCGCCGGCGTGCTGTACAGTACGAACTGGCGAAGGTACGACTTGTACCGCCATTGCTCCTTCACCCTGGTGCGGAATAGCTGATCAGCTACAGCAGCAGCAGCAGCAGCAACAAAGCCACTGCCGCTGCCGATGTTACTGCGACTGCTGTCTCCGCCACCGTCGCAGCGACCGCCGCCTCCGCCAGCACCTAGACCGGGGTCGGCGCCAACGGCGGCGTCGCCGTATCCGGCCGCGACGGAGCCGCCGTCAGCCCCCTCCGCCATCCCCACCATGTGTACGGCCGCGGGTACAGGGCCCCCCAGGAGCCGCCACTCTTCTTGACTGGGCGGTGCGGTGACCTGCGGTTCAGTGGTGAGGCGAAGGATTCCGAGGAAGGGCGGTTCATCCCGACAAACATCTCGACAAACATCCCGAATAAAGGAAGGAGGGAAAACCTCCCAGGCGGCGGTGGCGGCGGCGGCGGCGGAGGAGGGGGGGGAACAAAACACCGCGGGAACCGCAGTCCCATGAACAAGACACTGAAAACAAACGAAGAGATACTTCCCCAAAAAGAAATAAAAGTCAGCTTAACGGACCCCCGGTGAACCCCCGGTGGTCTATCGCTCCACTCCAGGGGGGGAAATGGTGCGGTACACATGCAGTACTCGGTACTAGCACGCAGCTAGCAGCTCACCTCCCGCTGCGAGGCCGCCTCCGCCTCAGCTCGTGCCAGCAGCCGGCCCGTCATGGGGGCCTCCGAGAACAACTCCAGGGGCTGAACCTCGGCGGGGGGCAGCGCCGGCGGCGGCAGCGGCACGTCGGGGTGTACGGCAGCAACGGCAGCAGCAGCAGCGGCGCCCGCTGGGTCCCCCAGCAGCTCGCGCTCAACGTAGGCGACCTGGCGTGTCAGTGTGTGCGCGGCAGAGAGGAACGAGTACATCACAGCGGCAGCAGATGCTAACTCACGACACAGTACTGCCGTACTGTGCATGTGTGTTATTGTGTGGCTTTCTTCGAGCTGCGCAAGGTCACGGCGGAGAGGAGCTCTAGGGGGGAGGGAGGACTCCAGGAACGGAAAATTCCGGATTTTGCCAGAAAAAAGTGAAATGGTAATGGCGCCCAGAGGGGCGCCAAGAACAGAGAGGGGAGACCTGGATAGATAGATAGATAGATAGATAGATGCAGCGGCAGTGGCAACGGACGGATGTAAACAATCATGGACAAGGTGGCTAAAGGCTATCTGTCGGTGGAACACCCAGGCTGCGGGTCGCGGGCAGCAAGGGACGCCGCGCGGGAAAGAGAGCCCCGTCGTCGACGGCGGCAGTTGCTTAACTAGGCAATCCTCCACGCGAGGAAGCAGGTAGTGCTGTGTGCGAAGCGGCCGATACGTACCACACGCGCCAGCCGGGCAACCAGCGGATCTACCGCTCCCGTTCCGTCGCCACCATTGGTGCTACTGCTGCTACTGCCGCCATCCACCACGCCCCAGCCACCACCAACATCATCACTGCTACCCTTTCCGCTGCCAAAACGTGTGGTCGTCGGAGCGAATGTATAGTTACCAGCATCGGCAGCAGCTGTGGTAGCTGCAGCAGCGGTGGCGGCGGCGCCGGCGGCAGTCGCAGCGTCATCTGCCCTGGGGGTTATTGCTCCCGCCAGCGGGGTGGATACCGTCGGCGGCTGTAGCGCCGCCGTGGCGGGAGCTGCCGACGCCAATACCCCACTTTGCACATCGCCGCCGCCTCTCGGGCGCCTCGGGGTATTAGAGCCGGCGCCAGCTTCTGAGCTAGGGGCATCCACGGCGCCCGTGACTCCAAGTAAGCTGTTGGCCTCGGCGCTGTCCTGCTGGCCGCCGCGGGGGTTGCTAGTGCTCCCGGGGGGACCGTCGACAACGCCGGCGCTGCCGCTACTGCCGCCGCGGCGGTGTGAAAGCAATGCACCCTTCCCACGCGCAAGCCGGGATAGCAAACCGCTACTACTGCCGCCGCTGCTGCTGCGTGCCGGGGCCCGGGGCGGTGATGGAGTCGGTGCCACCTCCCCCCCATCCTCGCCGTCGCGTCCGCCGGCAGTGGCACCTGCAGCGGCGGCCCTGTTCCGCCGTCTGCGAGCAGAACCTGTCGAGATGTCGTTGCTGTTCCCAGCCTTCTCCGCGTTGCCCCCATGGCTGTTAGACGTGTCGGCGCCGGCACTGCCGGTGTCCCGGCCGCGGCTGGTGCTGTAAGACGCGACTTGTGCAAAGGCCAGACGATGACGCAAGGGCAGGGAGACTCTAGAGAGCGCTTGGCGACGGAGGCACTTACATAGACCTAGGCTGGAAAGCTCGCGGACGGCCGAATGGCATATCGCCCCGGCAGCGGCATGCGGGCCGTGAGCAGCAGCAGAGGCGACTCCAGGGGCCAAGGCTGGAAGGTTCGGTGTAGCTCTTGTACGCGTACTGTGACTGCATAGGAAGTTTGTTTGGGGAAGACATGGCCTTCAGGGTAAATAAGGATGAGCGAGGGTGGTGCTGGTTCGTTGGTTGGTTGGTTGGCTGGTTGGTTGGTAGGGAAAGGCTCGCCAGAAGTGCGCGTACGGTTCATTCAGTTCCACAGGCTTGTGTGATTTTGTGGTTTGCGCTTCATTGAGTATTCGGCAATGGCCGCCATGTATGGCATGCAAGGCTACGCGCACACTACATTTGGTAAAGTTTAAGCAAACGCACCAGGTCAGGACTGACTGAGAATATGAGCTTAACAAGTCCATGATACCAGAGCACTTCAAGTTTCATTTGCTCTGGCAAAGCTGCCGCAGCGGCGGCCTTTGCATTATCTTATCTTTGCCCTAACCGATATTATGAGACGGTCGCCAGTAGGGAAGAAATCTGATTATTTAAATCAGCAAAAATAAGTGTTGGCTGTGTATCCGTGTGTTGAAGCCGATCAATAGTTGACTGCTCCATTGATGACTTGTACTGCTATAAAACAAACAAAATAACTTGTAGCGCATCAACATGCGAACTATCCGTATGTCGTGCTACCTTAAACTCCGGAATTAAGAACGACTGCGACCAACGGATGCAACGACCATTAACTGCTTTGCGGCAGCTACATAATTCAACTTGCATTCAGACGTCGGCAAAAGGAGTACTTCTGCAGCTTACATTAGGCCCATTTCTATAAGCTTTGGGTGTGCGGATGCGATGCGGAGGAGCACATGAAGTAGAGCAGGCTGCTGCTTTCGTTTATGTTTAATTGTGAAGGAAGCTGCCTCTTACGGACTTCATGGACATTGTCAGGTCGCAATCAGGATTTACTGCTGTTAATTTAAGGTCACAGTGGGTCTGATGATGATAGCTACGCGGAGGTAGGCTGTGCCGTGGCAGTCCTGGACGCAGTCCTGGACACACAACTACTGACGTGAAGCGTCAGGATGATCTACGATGATGTCCCAGTTAACGGCGTCAATTTGCGGTGTAGTGTAGTGTGCGATAAAATGCATCACAACCTGAAGAAGGCTTTCAATTGTTAAAACGAGCTGCCAATGGCACATAGAGACAACTCCGAAGGTCTCTACCAGGCCATATCGTTACAATAAGGCAACTGACGAAGACAACGAAGCAACGAAATTTACTGTCTCGCAGCACTGAGCGAAGCCGTACGCCGCACAAGTCGAGAGAAATCTCGAGCGCGCGCGCGGGTACTAAATCCTACCACGAGTGTTCATAGCAGGAATACCAAACGTCCAGACTGACGAACTATCGAAAACAGAGCCCGGAATACGGAAGTCTGGCTGGAATTCAACACTCCCACGCAAACAGACTTCCACACAGCGTTCGTACGGTACGACTTAATGCGCAGCAAAAGGTAGCAACTTAACGGTGCAGACGCGAGAGCAGAGTTTCCTAGAGCTCCCACGCTGCAGAAACACATAACAGTCGCCAAGAAGATGAGCTCCAGGTTTAACAATGCAAAGCACCTGAACATTCCCAGACTCCTCAGAACAATATACAACAACGCTACAAGGTGCCCTGCAGTGGACGAGATCGCTCACCTAACCGGAGTCACCACTCTCGTGCAGGCAGATTCACCTGAAGAATTCACTTCAGACCCATTGCGTCCATACAGAACCTGAGCTTGGATACCAGCAGAGCCTTCGTGAAAATATCGGCCAACTGCTCAGAGGTTTTGCAGTAAACCGCCCTAATTTCACCACGCTCAACCCGTTCACGCGCATAGTGATGGCAGATATCAATGTGCTTTGTGCGTGCAGTGGATACAGGGCTCTCCAGCATCGATATGCAGGCTTTATTATCGCACTTCAGCGGCACAGCTTGTGCTGGAAATCCCAGATCAAGCAGAAGATGCCTCAGCCATAATGCCTCCGTAATCGCTGCTGCTGCGGCCATATACTCTGCTTCAGCCGTAGAAGTGGCCACTGTTGGTTGCAGCTTGCTAGCCCACGGAATAGCGCCACCTCCATAAAGAAACACGTAACCACCAGTCGAGCGACGACCTTCAGCTCCTGCTAGATCTGAATCACAGAACCCGAGCGCACCAGAACTGCTCGAGTAAGAAATTCCGACTTCCTCCTTGGTGCCAATCAAGTACCTCAGAAGACCCTTGGCAAGGTTCCAATGCTCGACCGTTGGCTTGGACATATGTCGAGCTAGAGCTCCCATGGCTACTGGCTCGGACTCGGTCTTCTTTGCAGAAACATTTGCTTCGGCGTTGATCGCCAGCAAGCGCCGCCCTTGGCTCCTCAACTGTCTTCGGGTACCCAGTAGCCCTGAAGACGCGCCGTGTCTCAGTACCGGCGCTTCTCAGTACCAAACTCGTTATCACTCAAGCCACGAACAGTTTTCAAAATGCCGGACATCTTGTAGTCCTCGTGCCGTGTGATCTTCTGATATATTTCGCAACCTCGGGTGACGTATGCATCCAATGCCTCATTATCGCCCTTCTTAATCTGTTCAAAAGCTTCTGCGAGCGACGTCACTGCGGCGTCGTTTAGGTCGTCATACTTCTTCTTCAAACCATCCCAGAGCTCCTTCGCTGCGGTACTACTCTGGATGAGATTCTAATGCACACGAGCGTCCAGGAGGAGAACCATCTTGCTTAAGACTACTTGATCCTTCTTGTATGCATCCAAACACCTTGAGCCAAGACACATCAAGATCCGCCTTGTAGCCATCGGAGCCAGGACGAGGCAGCGGTCTCTCAATAGCTTCTCGGCAATCGAATTCGCCGAGATAGAAGGGCACCTTGAGGAACCATTCATCGCAGGTTTCCTTACTCAGAACAGTACGAAAAGATGACGCCATTTCGAAGGCTGGTCAACTTAAACGTCTATACCAAAAAACACTGAAATAAATGCACCGTATTTCAGTCGGGGCTCATAACCTGTTAGAACGAGCTGCCAATGGCACAAGGAGACAACTCCGTAAGTCTCTACCAGGCCATATCGTTACAATAAGGCATCTAACGAAGACAACGAAGCAGCGAGTTTCAGCGAGATTTGTTGTCTCGCAGCACTGAGCGAAGCCGTACACTGCGCAAGTCGAGAGAAATCTCTAGCGCGCGCGGGTACTAATTGCCCCCGCCTTAACTTGCCCCCGCCTTTATTATTGCCCCCGCCTTTATTACCTTCGCTAGTCATTTCTCTTCTGTGCTCCTCGTTCACCAAGCCTACCCGCATGCGAAACCCTCTATAGTCCATGGCATTTTTTCATGTGGAATAATTAATGTGAAGAAATCTAATCAAATGCTCATGAAAATTTTGACATACAGTTCAAGGAGCTCTGTCAGCAAGCACGCAACGGCATAAACCGGTACAACATACTCGGTTGCTCGGAGCTATGGCGAGGTCCCCGTGCACGTGAGAGTCATGGAACGGGGACCCCAAAACGAACGGCGCAAGGCCTCACAAGGGGAACGTAAACCCTCCCCGTCAAAATCGCAACAATTTGCATTTTTGTTTGGTACTTTTCAGCAGCTCCAAAACGTTCTGATGCTGTAAAAGCTGCAAGCTTATTAGGTGAAATGATGAACGAAGGTTCAAAACGTACTCCCCGAACCGTTCCTTCTCTGTAATCCATACCCCGGTGCTGTCCTTCAGTATAAAGAAATGTTATTCAAGTATACTGTGAAAGGGCATAGGCTCCGTTTCTCGTTGGGATGCCACGATGATTACAAAGAGGGCCGAGCGACTTAAGCCAGCTAACAACCTACAAGATGTAACAATGATGACATAACAAACTAAACAACAACAACGACTTAAATAGTTATCCAGAGCCTAGGCGGCGCCGGAAGGTCGTACATTATCCGTATCTCAAATGATCGTCCACGAGTAAAGTTAACGACTTAACAACTAACAAGAAAACCTAACATGCCCCCCTGCTTAGCTCAAGCATCGGCCTCGATGCGACCAAAGTACAAACTATGCTAAGTCGTGCGCCGCTCCGATTCCCTGAACGAAATCGGTACCAGGCTAACGAGGGGAAGGCAAAAGGGAACCGGAGTCAAGGCAAAACCTTCCCCGCACTGGATACCGGCCTAAATAAGGCGCACGACACCTATACTTGCCGGTCTGAGGAACCGGTATATATCCCAACGAACGTGTCCAAAACATCCACAAAGAGTACGCAAACCAAAAGCCTAAGGCACGGAAAGCAAACTCGGTGGATGACAAAAGAACGCAAGAGAACGCGAAAATACACAACATGCGACACGCAATACCCCGAAAAAAACAGAAGTCAAGACACGACACGCGCAAAACTGAGGCGAAATAACCCAAACTGAAACACACAGGACACGAGTCACACACAACACACATCCTATGCGTAGCGCTAGGTTGTCACGA